AAATGTGAATAGGACTTAATACAGGTGAGTGAAGTTCTAAAGAATAGTTAACAAGTTTAAAATGGTTTTAATTCTAACCTAAAAATCTTGAACCTTAAGCCCAAATTTGTTGATATTTCTAGCATTGGCATGTTCCTTATGTTCTCCTCAACCTCCTTAATATGTGCTGGGTCAGTGGTCAGCAAAGTGTGGCTCTTCCACAAAGTACCATGGCTTGGGCGAGTCTATTTTGAAGACGTGGCATTAGAAATTTAAGTTTAAAAAAGTTTGGCTCAAAAGAAATTTCAATCATTGTACTGTTGATATTTGGTTCTGTTAACTAATGAGTTTGCTGACCATTGTATGAGGTCATCAGCCTCTCTGGTATTCAGTTGTAGTCTTCTGCTTTATAACTTTCCTATTCCTATACATCTTATCTTAGTCCCTGACCTGAGTGGGAAACATTTCCAGTTTGAACCTGAGATTTTTTTTTCTCTGGATTTTAAAATATCCTAGGTGGTCTTTATGGCTTTAGAACTCCTCAGTATGAAGACAATATGAAAAAATTGATGAGATTTCATCCTTTTATGGAAACTATATTTATTTTACCTCAGTTCTATCAACATGAGAAGCCTACTAATTTCTTAGAACTTTAAAACTATCATTTCTTTGGGATTAAACACAAAACGTCCCATTTCCCAATTGAGTAGTATCTCAACTATTAACCAATCACCTGAAATAAGATCATTGATCTTAAGTATCTCCTATTAAGCCATTCCTAGTTTAGGTTACCCTGTCTTACTTTCCCTAGTTTTTCTTGCTGACTAATTACTACAGCATCTTATTTATACTTAAAATATTCTAAATATGAATATTATATGCTATATTTATAAGAGAAGCAAGAAGAGGGTAACGAAAGGAAGCAATTATCAGGAAAAAATAGAATAACTTAAAAGCAGACACAAAAACTCAATATAGCAATCAAAGTTACTTAGTATAGAAGAAAATAGTTTTGAGTATTTTAGTGAGTCCCAAGTATATCATGTCTTAAAATATTACAATAACTAATGTTAATAAAGCCTTTAAATCAATGGTTTTTAACCAGAAAGGTGTGTGTGTGTGAGTGTGTGTGTGTGTGTGTGTGTGTGTGTGTGTGTGTGTAACGATTATGTTTTAGGTAGAACTCAGGATCCACATCTCTGTATATTTCCTTACTAATTCTCATAAATATCCTTGATTAAATACATTGTTTTAACATAGCAAAAAGGATAAAATTATATTCAATATGTTCTGCTAAGACTGCAGACATTTATAAAATCAGTGTAATTTCAGTCATTAAGAAAAAAAAGAAAAAAACTAGTAGAAAAATGGGCAAAAGCAGAAAAAGGATGCAAGAAGAAATATAGATGATTATTAACTTTGTGAAAATATATTCACCTTCATTCTTAGGCAAATAAGTATATATTTTTTTCCTAACTAGACCATCAAAACTGAAAAGATTTATAATCCTGAATTTGATTTTTATTTGTAGAAACAGGAAGGAATTCAAGTTAACTGCTGATAGGACTATAAGTTCAAATTTGGAGGGCAGATTGGTAATATGTATCAAAGTTATAAATGTTTTTATTATCTGATCAGTAATTTTATCCTAGGAATTTATTATAAAGAATTTGAAAAACTCATATTGCAAAGTATTTATAATCTGACCTGTATTGTTAGGTCAGCATTTAAAAAAAAAAAAAAAAAAGTCTAAAAGTTACATAGTATAATGAAATGATACCAGTAGTTATAGCTGAAAAGTAGAACTGCAGATAATTATAATGTCAGTATGTTAGTGTCTAATTGGATGGGTTTAGTACACAGGAGAGATTCATAGTTCTTTTGCCTTTAAAAATTTAAATATCCGGAAGGTTGAATAGACAAAATAGGGAGATGGTTACTTTCTGGATTGACAAAAGTTGCTTATTGATTTCAGTCAATGCTGAGATCTGAAGCTCCTGATTTTTTTCATTGCCCTGACAACCAGGCTGAACCCTTTTAAAGAATTACTAGTTGAAACTGGTTTGGCTCAGTGGATAGAGCGTCAGCCTGCGGACTGAAAGGTCCCAGGTTCGATTCCGGTCAAGGGCACATTGGTTGCGGGCACATCCCCAGTAGGGGGTGTGCAAGAGGCAGCTGATCGGTGATTCTCTCTCATCGATGTTTCTAACTCTCTATCCCTCTCTCTTCCTCTCTGTGAAAAATCAATAAAATATATTTTTAAAAAAAAGAATTACTAAAAATTTAAACAGGACACGCATTATCCACTCAGGGAAGTCGTTAGTACTCATAAGATTGTAGCGTATTTTTTTGGTTTGTAATTTCTTTCTTTTAAGATATTTAAATGTTTTACTATTTTGATCTAAAGATACTTAAATAAGGTTATTGAATTCTTTATACTCAGGGGGGGGGCCTCCCTCAGCCTGGCCTGCGTGCTCTCATAATTCAGAACCCCTTGGGGGATATCCTACTGACAGTTTAGGCCCCCTCCCTCTCACAATCTGGGACCACTGGCTCCTAACCTCTCGCCTGCCTGATCTCCCCTAACCGCCTCTGCCTGCCTACTTGATTGCCCTTAACTGCCTCTGCCTCGGCCCCCAGGGCTTCATCTGGAACGACATCTGGAAGGTCATTTGGCTGTCCAGTCTAATTAGCATATTACACTTTTATTATAGTCAACAAAAATTTATATATCCGTTGTATACAGTGTGAGAATTTGCTGTATACATTGTGAAATATTTACAGTTAATTAACATTTCTATCACTTCACAGTTTCCTTCTTTATGTGTGTGTGAGAAAATGCTGAAGAGCTACTCATTAAATTTTAAGTATGTAATACAATATTGATAGTAGTCACCATGCTGTTCATTAGACCTCAGAACTTATTATCACAAAGCTGATAGTTTGTACCAATTTCCACTATCTATATTCTGACTACTTAATATATATATATATATATATATATATATAATATCAATCAATATATATATTATTTCTTTTTACAGAGAGGAAGAGAGAGGGATAGAGAGCTAGAAACATCGATAAGAGAGAATTATCAATCAGCTGCTTCTTGCACACCCCCTACTAGGGATGTGCCTGCAACCAAGGCGCATGCCCTTGACCGAACTCGAACCTGGGACCTTTCAGTCCACAGGCTGACGCTCTATCCACTGAGCCAAACCGGTTTCATCCTGTCTACTCTTGTAGATAGCAAGTTATAGTTAAATTATGGTTATTTAACAAATTTTATTTAGCACTGAGTCACAGCTTCTTACGTTATTCTAATGGCAGTTTGACTTTCTAATTTCCCCCCCTTTTTTTGCTGCATTAAGTTAATAAAGAATGTGTATTTATGACCTCTGGTTCTAAACATTTATATATAAAATGGAGAGTAAACCTGTTTTCATTGGAGAGAGAGGGAATATAAAAAATCAACTGGAGAATTATTCAAATCTATAAAAATTTAACTACTTTAAGTAGTGGTACACAAGAGAAATGTACAGGATTAAACAATTTTTGAAAATCATATATAAAGAAAACTAACAAAAAGACTGTGCATAAGACAAATAGTATCTACTGTGAGTTTTTCTCAGATTCATTTACAGTTTTAATATCAATCAAAATTGTAATAGGATTTTTTCTTTTGGAACAAATAGGAAAGACAGTGGGGATACTTTGAAAAAGTTATTCTGTAAATTATTTTAAATAGTCAATACATTTTGAAAAAAAAATAATGAGCAAGTACTTGTCATATCAATATGAGCAAGACTGCAGTGCTCCTTTAATAAGACATTGTGGTTCTGATAGACCAGTGGATTAAAACATACTCTAATATATGTAAGAATTTGGTAGCAGCTTAAATTAGAGAAGGAAGAATTATGACCAAGGCAAAGGAGTTTATAAGCATAGAAATAGTGAAAGAAATCATGCAGGAAAGGTAGATTCTTAATACATAAGAGTTGAAAACTTCTACAGTAAAAGCAGACACATGGAAAAACTATTAAACCATTTCCAGTAATATGACAAAGTGTACACACAGATGTATATATACATCTGCCTGTTGGGGAACAGGGAAGAAATGACCTCTGGTTCTAAACAGTTTGGGATAACTCCAAATGCATGTGCTACATATGCCCAGTAACAGGCTAGCACACACATACATATGCCATAACTTTCAGTATAATTTTAGGAGATTCATGGTCATAAGAGTTTTATGGACCCCAAAAAAAGTACCTAGTAAATATGAATAAACTTTTAACTTTCCTATTAAAGAAATTGAAGATTTTAAAAAATGGTATAATGTTGAATATTGGCAAAAAATATTGCTAGTGGGATATTAATTAGTAAAATCTTCCTGAAAAGCCATTTGGTTTTTAAAATGTCAGAATCTTATTTTTAAATTCTATTTCTAAAAATTATTTTAAGGAAACATCAGAAACTCAAATTTTTATGTAACAGTGATCATTATGCACTGAAGTGCTTATTATTACTTATAGTTGCAAAAAATTAGAAGCAAACTGAATGCTCAACTTTAGTATAATGGTTATAAATCATGAGTTAGCCATGTAATAAAATATCACATAACAATTATATGTAATGTTTTTTAAAGACTGGTGATTTGAGAAAATAAAATGTACTGTTAAATGAAAAAATGAAATGTAAGATGGTTAAAATAAAGGTTGTTTCTAAGTGATAGGACTTTGGTGATTTTTAATTTATTTTTTCATTTTTCTATTCATCCCCATTTATTTTTATAGTATGTATTAGTTTTATATTTAAAACACTTTCAAAATTTTATTCTCATCTGTTATATAACTTAAGATTATTACTTAAAACCAGGAAAATGACAGTGATTTGACTCTCAAAAATATATATGCAAGTTTTGTTGTTTTTTAAAATGCAAATTGTAAAGGTTCAAGAAATTTTATCTTAAGTGTTGAATTAAGACAGAAAACTAATTTTTTGGTTCCTTTCCCTCCTAGAAGTGGAAGACTTATTTTCTTCACTTAAACATATTCAACATACTTTGGTAGATTCTCAGAGCCAGGAGGATATTTCACTACTTTTACAACTTGTACAAAATAAAGATTTCCAGAATGCATTTAAAATACACAACGCTGTCACAGTACACATGAGCAAGGCCAGTCCTCCATTTCCTCTTATCTCTAACGCACAAGATCTTGCACAAGAGGTATGTATTTTAAAGATATTATTGACATATATATAACAAAGTAATTATTAGTGATAATAAAGCAGTATTATTAGAAAATACTGGTGTGAATATAAGGCTTGTTTGAATTAATTACTACTGGTCATATAAGAATAATTTATTGTTTTAGGAAATATTTTCTAAGTACATTTTATCCTGAAAAATATATATGCTTATTTCCGGTGTTTTTGTTGTTGTTGTTGTTAATCCTCACCCAAGGATATTTTCCACTGATTTTTTTAGAAAGAGTGGAATGGAGGGGGAGAGACATAGAAACATTGATGGGAGAGAGACACATTGACTGGTTGCTTCCCATACACACCCCTGACTAGGGCCAGGGATCGAGCCTGCAACCAAGGTACATGCCTTTGACCAGAATCAAACCCAGGACCTTTCTTTCTGTGGGCTGCCACTCTATTCACTGAGCAAGTCCAACTATATTTCAGAGTCAGAACTCTGTTTCACTAAACAAGAGAGTTCGTTTTGAATTTACAAAATTTTATATTTGCATAGTAAGAGAAATCTTTTTCTAAGTTACTAAAGGGGAAAATTTTTTAATGTTTTAGTCTGTATTTTTTAAATATATTTTTCTTGATTTGAGGAAGGAAGGGAGAGGGGGAGAGAGAGAGAAACATCAGTGATGATAGAGAATCATTGATTGGCTGCCTGCTGCATACCTCCTATCGGGATCGAGCCCACAACCAAGACATGTGCCCTTGACTGGAATCAAACCTGGAACCCTTCAGTCCACAGGCTGATTCTCTATCCACTGAGCCAAACTGGCTAGGGCTCAGTATAGTTTTATTTTAAGCATTATACATCATAAACTGAGGTAAATGAATACCAAGGAGATAAAAATAATATCTGATAATCTGGTATTATAAATATACTAGAGGCCCGGTGCATGAAAAATTCCTCAGCCTGCCTGCTCCCTTTCATAGTCCATGACCCCTCAGGGAATGTCCACCTGCCAGCTTAGCCCCACTCGCCCAGGGAACGGGCCTAAGCCATCAGTTGGACGTCCTTAGCACTGCTGAGGAGGCTGGAAAGGCTCCTGCCACGGCTGCTGCACTTGCAGCTCTCAGCCCGGCTTGTGGCTGAGCAGACCTCCCCCAATGGAAGCGCACTGACCACCAGGGAGCAACTGCTGTGTGGTCATTGTGGCCAGTGTGCATCATAGTGGCCAGTCATTCTGTTGTTAGGGTCAATTTGCTTTTTACCCTTCTATTACATAGGACTAGAGGCCCAGTGCATGAATTTGTGCATGGTTTGGGTCCGGCAGGCCTCGCACCAATTGGGAGGCAAGGAGCAATCGGAGGTGGGGCCAGCTAGGGGGAGGGTCCACAGGCAGTTGGCCAGCCAGCCCCACACTCTAGTCAAACTCCCAGTTGAAACAATTTGCATATTAGCCTTTTTGTTATATAGGATAGCTTTTAAGATTTGTTACTAGTAGATATAGTCATGTGCTACATAATGACAGTTCAGTCAATAATGAACCACATGTATGACAGTGGTTCCATCCTATCTAATAATCTTGCCGCACAATTGACCCTCACGCCATCTCAAAGATGGCGGTGCCCATAGCCAATAAGGAAGGAATATGTTAATTGACTGCCATGCCATTAAAGATGGCGGCACCCAAAGCTACAAGATGGCAATGCCCAGTCTCCTCAGCCCCCCTGGGGCAGCAGGTATGTGGCAAGGCCAGACCCGCCCTCAGGCAGGCCCAGCCATCTTTGGAGTACCCCAGTCCCTTCAGCCATCCAGGGCCAGCCTGAGGCATAGGCAAGCCTCGGATGGCAGCTGCACAACTGCCCAGGGCTGGTCCAAGGCACAGGCAAGCCTCAAATATCGGCTGCCCAGCTGTTTGAGGCTCTGGTAACCAGGGCCAGCGGAGGCTTGCGCTGCCAGCAGTGGCAGCAGCAGAGATATGATGGGGCATCGCCTTCCCCTGATCGCCAGGTTGCTTCCCATCCCTGCGGCTCCTGGACTGTGAGAGAGGGCAGGCTGGACTGAGGGATTCCCCCACTCCAGTGCACAAATTTTCATGCACCAACCCTCTAGTAAGATTATAATAGAGTGGAAAATTCTCATCTTATAGTTGCAATCATCCTAACACAACACATTACTCACATGTTTGTGGTGATGCTGGTGTAAATAAACCTGCACTGCCAGTTTTGTAAAAGGTTATCACTGTGTTATAGTTGCCTACAGTGTTTAGTACAATAACGTGTGGTACACATTTATAGTCTAAGAGCAATTGGCTACCTTATATAGCCTAGATGTATAGTAGGCTATACCATCTAGATTTATGTGAGTACATTCTGTGATGATAGCATGATGATATTGCATAATGACTCATTTCTCAGAAATTATCAAGTGGTGAATGACTGTATTTTAAAGTTGTTCCTCTATAGAAAGTGTGTAGAAACTCGAAAATAATTCAATTTTAATGTACAGTAAGAGGTCGAATTTCCACTGCTTTTTGTGTTCAGTGTTTAATGTGTTCTGCAAACAGCTTTTAATTGAGGGTTTTAAAAAGATAAATAAGCCATCTCCAATCTTGGTGAGGGGTGGACAGTTTGTCATTATTACAGGATTTTAAGTTATTTTGACATAAAAACTAATAATTGTGGCCCAGCTGGTGTGGCTCAGTGGTTGAACATTGACCTATGAACCAGGAGGTTATGGTTGGATTCCTGGTCAGGGCACATGCCTGGGTTATATTCTTGGATTGCAGGCTTGATTCCCAGTTAGGGGCGTGCAGTGATCCTCATCATTGATATTTCTATCTCTCTTCCTTCTTCCTATGAAATAAATAAAATTAAATTAAATTAAAAAACAACAACCAACAATTAGTAGTAATTCTGAAAGCCCATCAAATAAATTTATTTCATGGAATCCAGACACAAGACAGAAAAAGGAGTAGGGGGAACGGTGGGACTTCCAGAGGTACAGGCTTATAGAATAGGTTAGAAGGTACTTTAAATTATTACAAATTACTCTTTTTTATGTGTAATAGAGATTTGGAAATAGAAAAGGAAAGAGCATTGAAAAAGAGTATACATAGTATAATATTTGGGAAAAGTAATCCACAGATCAAAATTTATACCTGTAATATTTATTATAGAAGAAAAAATATTGAAAATAAATGAACCAAACATAACAGCTTAAATGATTAAAGATTAAAAAGTAAAATAAACTAAAGCAGAAGAAAGAAATTATTTCAGTGGAAAGAACAATAGAATGAACATTAGAAGCTAGTTTTTTTGAAAATTAAAAAAACTGGAGAAACCTTTGACTTGTTAGATGAAGAAAAATATATCAATAACATTAGGAATGAATAAAGGAGCATGAATACAGACACAGAAGATTAAAAATTATAGCATAATACAGCTTTCTTACTAAATGTGAAAGAGCTATCAGGTGAGTGGTTTTCTAAAAAAATATATAAATTGTCAAAAGTGACATAAGAAAAGAGCGTCAAAAAAGGTAGACCAGTAGCAACAGATAAAATTGAAAATCAGAAATTCACCCTAAAAAATATTTATTAGGCCTGGATGATTTTATATACAAGGTCTATCAAAACACTCAGGAATATATAATTTTAATGTTAAATAAACTTTTTTGACACATAAACATAGACTATTTTCCAATTCATTTATACTAGGATATAATGACCTAGATAGTAAAACCAGACAGTTTTATAAACCAGTATACATTGACCACACTCACCAAGTAAAGACCAATCCAGTTTATGAATATTAATATAGACAGCTTAAAATAACAATAACTCATACATTAAAATACAGTAAATGATACTTTATTGTGTGCTTAGTTTAGATGGATTATCTCCATCTTTTGAGAACCTTAAATAGTAGGTGCCATTCTACAGATGAGGAAGCAAAGGCTAAAAATTCATCATAGTCAAATGTAGTTTACCCCTGGAATGTAAGAATTGCTTCACAGTGGGGAATTTTTAAATGTAATTCACTATAATATGGTGATTGTTGCATTACTGTTATATAAATTTATCTTGTTAGTCTGTAACTGTTTAAAGTGTCATCTGTGATTTAAAATATAGTTGCATAAACATGATTAAAAATTATAAAATTTCAAGATAACTTAGTTTTTCTTCCCTTATATAATTATTAATCTACTAGAGCCCTGTTGCATTAAGATTCCTGCAAGAATAGGCCTTTCTCGGGCCCATTCCTACAAGAATAGGGCTTCCTGCAGCTGGAGCAAAGCAGAGAAAGGAGCGAAGCCCACCGAGGAGTATATGAAAGCAAATTAACCACCATCTTTGTTTAGTTAATTTGCATACTCAATCATGATTGGCTGGTGGGCGTAATGGAGGAATGGTCAATTTGCATGTTTCTCTTTAGTGTAGATTTTATATATGTTAGAGAAACTTACAAGAAGATAGTTCATTCATGTGCATAAATACCAAAATCATATCTAGTGTTGTCTTTTTAAATAAAGAATGTTATTGTTAACTGTGATAACAAGATTGAAAATTCTGTGGAAAAAATTTATTTTTCTAGCAATTTTACTTAGTGCCTTCTTATAAATAATTTTTATGATTTTAAATTGTATCTTTTTAAAAATACATGTGTAGGTGCTGGTGATATTTTTTTGTAACCTAGGAAGAATTCATCTTTCTTTTTGTTCCTTAGGTACAAATTATCTTGAAGACAATCCACCAGAAGGAAGGGCAAGAATTAACTGCTTTACTGAATGCTCCACATATTCAGGTAGAAAATGTATAAAGCATTATGAAAATGTAGTTTTTCCAACTTCTAAGTCTCTCTGAATTAGTCCCTTAGGGCTAGAAGAGACTTCAAATATTATCAATAGGCTGTTTGGTTATTTACAATTCCCACTATAAAATAATTATTGTTGGATTATATATTTTCATATTTAAAATTAGATTTGAAATAACTTATTATTCTTTTAAAAAATTTCTGTTTCATTTTCCCTCCCATAAATTTTTATCAGTGGTTTTGGGCCTTAAAATTGATCTTTTTTTTTTTTGCATTATAATAAGCACATCAAGCTTTCAGAACCTATCCTAGAGTATGCCTGCTATACCTAACACATCTTTTTATTATTACTTTAGTTGTTGTTAATCCTCACTTGAGGAAATTGTTCCATTGATTTTCAGGGATAGTAGAAGAGAGAGGGAAAGACAGAGAGAAACATTGATGTGAGAAACACATCGATTGGTTGCCTCCTGCAGGAGCCCTGACTAGGGCCCAAGCAGGGAAGGAGCTTGCAACCAAGGTATGTGCCCTTGACTGGAATCAAACCCAGAGGACCCTTTGGTCCACAGTTGACGCTTTATCCACTGAGCCAAACCAACCAGGACCCTAACACATCTTTAATTGTTATTAACTTGAAAGATACAAGGTTGCATTTTTACCTCCTTGGAAGATTTAGAAACAAATCTGAATATATCATTAATTATAGTATTTCTTTTAAAGGTTTAATGATCAGAATGCTATGGATTTTTTTTTTTTTTGAAACAGGCACTTTTACTGGCCCATGATAAGGTTGCAGAGCAGGAAATGCAGCTAGAGCCCATTACAACTGAGAGAGTTTATGAAAGCGTTGGCCAGTACGGAGGAGAAACTGTAAAAATAGTCCGTATAGAAAAGGCTCGAGATATTCCATTGGTAAGTATTCCATGTATCTGATCTGAGATCCTTCTACCCAGTGATTTTTTGTATAGAAGACAGTTAAAGATCCCTTTATGTTTCTGGTAGTTTTTCTCTTTTGAGATAAATTTATTGAAATTAAGTTCTTTCTCATACTCCTTTTTCAGAGAAAAATATGTTCATCTTTCTCACCTATATTTGATGAAAATAGTAGCTTGTGAAATAACTGTTGAGGAACAGAGGGATAAGGAACCTGCTTTATTATTCTCCTAATTTAAAAAAAATCTGAAATTTTTATTCACTTAAAATCTGTTGAAACACAATTATGTATACTTCACATATACTTAGAAGTATTAATGTTAATATTTGTTTTATAGTTTTTATATGTAAAATTTTTTTAATCTCTTCTCAGTCTGCTATTATTGCCTTAATTTTGTTTCCTTTATTTTCAAGGATATTCTTGAATCCTGATCTCAAATTGTGTTTTGAATAGTGGAATACATAAAATACAGACCATATTTTATGGACAGTTTATGTAACTTAGTTTTTTTCCCCAGTAGAAAAAAAAAATTAGGCAAGTTTAGGATAAAAATCTTATAAATTCTGTCTACTTTGAAGCTTTTTTTCTGTATTTTATATTTTCATTTTTGAATGTATTGGTTTAATTGTATTTCTCATTTGTGTAATGTTAATGCTTAATATATTTTCATGTGAATTGGATGTAGCTATAATATTGAACATTTGAATAATCAACCATAATAATTTTCTTTCCCCATCATATTTTAAAATTTTAAAAAGGGCTTTTATAGATATGTCATGTTCTCTAATTGTACCTAACTATAGTATAGCCATTTTGAATAGCATCTAACATACAGAGAGCAAGTCTTCAGGTGGTTTTTAAGCAAGTGCAGTTTTCTGTTGTATACTTGAAAAAGCCTGCTTGATTTTGAGAATTTTAATGAATGCAATGTTTCTGCAGCAGAAAATGTAAGGAAAATGGTCACCTAAATAGTAACCTAATTATCTTGACTTCTCTAGCTATCAAGATAACTGAAGACTAGTATTATTGAATAGAAAAAAAAATAATTTAAAAATGAAGAAATCTTTAACCAAAAAATTGCATTTTTATTTTTAAATTGGATGTTAATTTTTTTTTAGGGTGCTACAGTTCGTAATGAAATGGATTCTGTCATCATTAGTCGGATAGTAAAAGGGGGTGCTGCAGAGAAAAGTGGTCTTTTACATGAAGGAGATGAAGTTCTGGAGATTAATGGCATTGAAATTCGGGGAAAAGATGTAAATGAGGTTTTTGACTTGTTGGTAAGTTGACACAACTAGACAAATATTTGGTGGGTTCTTAAAAGTTGATTTTTTGTTATTAGACTTCAGAATAAAAAAATTTTAAGTATTTTTAAAATAATTGCTAAGAGGACTAGATAATTTCTAGCCTAATTTTCACATGTTTTTCAATATTTATTAAGAGTTCTATTTTGGGATGAGTACTACTGTTTTGTTTTTTGAGCTTTATTACTATCAAGTATATTTTATTTATCTCTGAAGTCACCAATATATCTCATTAATTCATTCAACATATATTTATTTAAGTCTCTGCTATGGGCCGGCTGCTAGAAAAACAGTAACAAAACAAAGTCCATGCCCTCATGATATTTTTATTCATTTTGTTTGTGATCTACAATTAATTGTTATTTTCTTAATAATGTTAGGTTATTAAGATATATAGGACAATACATGTATATCGTCCAATAGTTACATGCGCTAGCTATTTCAACTTAAATTAATAATTTAAATTGTTTCTCATTCCTAACAACTATATTCTAGATAAGAACAGTATGTAGCTAATGGCTCTCATATTATGGTATAGATATAGGACATTTATATGATCATAGTAAGTTCTATTAGACAGTGCTCGTATAATCAACAAGCTGTTTATAGTCAGCTTTTGAGAGCAATTTCTGATCACTGCATATATCTTCACAAACCAGATTTATATTCTTATTGACTTAACATCAATTGTTACAATAGGATCGCTCCTTTCTGCTGATGTCTGTTGACAAATCTAGAAAACATCCTTAGTCCTTATTTTCACTGAACCATATTTATTGCTTTGAGAGAGCAAAGTGCAAATCATTGTTTTTAGCCATTGTTTTATTGGCTGCTTTCTCTAGGTTGAGCACTGCTTCCTGCTATCTTAGGACCAGAAATTATGCTCATTGTTCTATTGTCTAAACTGGAGGTATCTGAACAATAGTTAGTTGTGTACTGGGAAATAATAGTGAACCTAGCAATGAGACTATAGAATTAAAAATAGAATGGATGACGGAGACAAAGCATATGGGAAGTGAGAATATTTGTATCACTTTTCTTATCCTAGTCACAATTACTATTTCAATTTCTACTGTATTAACTTGTATGTATATCAGAGTAGGTAACCCAGAATTGTTATAGCACTCTGGTATTGTCCAACCTTCACTGTGGTATCTTCCTAAACTTACACTAAGTAGAAGATCAGAACCCAAGACTTATGGGCTAAATGGCTTTGCCCAATGTTCGAGAATTACAGAATGCCTTATTACTGGCTAGCTCTACTATAATGGAGTCTATGAAAGGCATAATTTGTGCTTTCTGACAAAATGGGATTCATCTTTACTGATTTTTTTTAAGTCTACCAAGGGGTTCCAGAATAGTCCATTGTAGGGAATATTGATCATAATATCATAAATGATTTTCATAAGTAATGGATTTTAAAAATTACCTAATCTCTCTATTACAGTCTGATATGCATGGTACTTTGACATTTGTTCTGATCCCCAGTCAACAGATCAAGCCTCCTCCTGCCAAGGAAACTGTAGTAAGTGATTTGTTGTTGTTGTTGTTGTTATTGTTGTTTATTTGTTGTCTGATGGCTACAGTTTACTTTTTTCTAAATTAATGAAGTTTATTTTTTAGAGTAGTTTTAGGTTAACAGCAAAACGAAGCAAAAAGTTCAGTTTCACATACCTCTTATCCACACATATGCATAATCTCCCCCACTTTCATCATCCTGCACCAGAATGGTACATTTGTTACATCAATGAATTAATGGTTCCATTATTACTCAGAGTTCATCCTAATATACAAAATCCCTGGGTCATAATGACAAGTAATGACCAAGCCTCCACCAACTGAAAGTCAGTCCTGCGGTCAGCGCTGGGTTGCTGTGGCAGCTGCCTGCCAAGGGGTCTGCATATCAGGGCCAGAGAGAGATCTGAAGAGAGAAACAGGGACTGATCCATTGCCTTTGTGGCAGCTTTTGATCATTTGCCTCTCTTTCTCTCCCAGTCTGGCCAGCAGCTGCACCTACTTTTCTCTCCAGGCATCCCACCAGGGCTGCTGATCAGCTCTGCCTTTCTGATCAGGCTCCGTTGATAGGCCCAGTGATGCTGACTGGCATAGAAACTGATCAGTCAGAACCAAATTGGCCTGCAGGGCAGGGCAGTTGGGGGCAAGATCAGGCCAGTGAGGGAGGGCAGTTGGCAAGATTAGGCAGGCAGAGGGGTTAGGGGCAGGCAGTCAGGCAGGCAAGAGAGTGGTTAGGAGCCAGCAGCCCCAGATTGCGAGAGGGATGTCCAACTGCTGGTACAGGGATCGGGCCTAAACCGGCAGTTGAACATCCCAGAAATGGTCCCAAATTGAAGATGGTTTAGGCTGGGCTGAGGGAACCCCCTCCCTCTCGGTTCACGAATATAAAAGCCTAAATGACCAGTCAAGCGGTCACTATGGCTACACTGACCCACCAGGGGGCAGACGCTCAATGCAGCTAGCCTCTCATGGTCCCTCACCAGCCCCCCAATTGGCCCCAATGGGGGGGGCAGCTAGCCAACCTCCTGGGGTCCCTCCCCCTGGCCAGCTGGCCCCCCAATAGGCCTCGACTTCCAGCTAGGCCAAGAGACCCCACCTGTGCGTAAATTCATGCACTGAGCCTCTAGTAGTTTTTTGAGTTTTTTTTCCTACCAGTAGTAATTTTAATAGTGTTCATTTTGGATGCTATATAACCTATGGGTTTTACAAATATGTAATTCCATTGTATCATATAGAAGTTTCCCTGACCTAAAAATCCACTGCTCTGTCTATTCAACAATTCCTCTTCCCAACCATGGCAACCACTGGTCTCTGTAGTTTTGCCTTTTCTAGAATGTCTTATAGTTGGAATGTCATATAGTTGGCCATTTCAGATTTATATTTTCATTAGTGATAAACGTTTAAGTTTCCTTCATGTCTTCTTTTTTTTTTTAAATTTATTGATTTTTTTACAGAGAGGAAGAGAGAGGGATAGAGAGCTAGAAACATTGATGAGAGAGAAACATTGACCAGCTGTCTCCTGCACACCACCTACTACGGATGTGCCCGCAAACAATGTACATGCCCTTGACCAAAATTGAACCTGGGACCTTTCAGTCCGCAGACCGATGCTCTATCCACTGAGCCAAACCGGTTTCTGCTCTTTCATATCTTCTTATAGCTTGATAGCTCATTTCTTTTTAGCATTGAATAATCTTCTGTCATCTAAGATATACAACAGTTTATCCATTTGCCAACTGAAAGACATCATGGTTGCTTCCAAGTTTTTGACTTATAAATGTCATTGCTGTAAACATCCTTTTGCAGGTTTTTGCATGGACATAAATTTTTCCATTCATTTAAACTTACACCCACACAAACACTTATGCCATAGATGTTATTGTTTGGGGTATCAGAAGTGTCACCTTAAATATTTTTTGCACTCAAATAAAAACAAGGAAATTCACTAGTTTTTATATAGATAAATATGAAATATCAATATTTTAAATGAGCAAACTCATAAAATGTCTTATAGAATTTTTGTGATTGTAACAGTGAACTTAGTCTTCTTCTGTTATTATAGGTGGATTTATTTAACTTAAATATAACAATACAGAGGGTAGAAGTGCTTGTACACTCGTATTTTAGAATGAACATTGCTCTTTATGTTTAACATTTACTCAACTAGCTATATTAAAAGACAAACTTCCTTACTATGTGATCTAACAGTTCCATTCTAGGTGTATATCCAATAGAATTGAAAACAGATATCTAACACAAACTTGTACTTGAGTGTTCACAGTAGAATTATTTATAACTAGAAGCCTGGTGCATGAGATTCCTGCACAGGGGGTAGGGGTAGGAGTTCCTCAGCCCAGCCTTCACCCTCTTGCGGTCTAGGAGCCCTTGGGAGATGTCTGACTGACGACTTAGGCCTGCTTCCCAGGGCAGTCGGACATCCTTAGCATTGCTGCGGAGGTGAGAGAGGCTCCCGCCACCACTGCTGCGTTTGCCACCTGACCCAGGCTTCTGGCTGGGGGAGTGCACACACCATAGAGGGAGTGCACACACCACCAGGGGCAACTCCTGCATTGAACAGGATTAGGCCGAAACCGGCTCTCCAACAAGGGGTCCCGGATTGCAAGAGGGAACAGATCAGGCCAAAGGACCCCATCAGTGCACAATCAGGGCCAGGAAGGAACACCGGAGGTTGTCCAGCCAGGGAGAGATTGCAGGAGGGCTCCAAGGCATGTCCAGCCTGTCTCATTTAGTCCTGATTGGCTGGACCCCAGCAGCAAGCTAACCTACCAGTTGGAGCATCTGTCCCCTGGTGGTCAGTGCATGTCATAGCTGTTGAGCAGTCTTAGCATATCATTAGCATATTACACTTTGATTGGTTGAATGGATGACTGGACACTTAGCATATTAGGCTTTTATTATATAGGGTAGCCAGGTAGTAGAAACAACCCAAATGTCTGCCAGCTAATGAATGGAAAATGAAATGTGTGATATTATTTGGCAATTATAAGGAATAAAATATACTTCAACTTGGATTAATCTTGATAAAATTATGCTGAGTGAATGATGCCAGTCACAGAAGCCATGTGTTGGTTAATTTATATGAACTGTCCAGAATAGGTAAATCCACAGAGACAGAAAGTAGATTAATAGCTTCTTAGGCGCAAGGGTGGTGAGTGAGGAGGGGAGGGGAGGTATTGTAAATCTATATGGTGTTTCTTTGGGGGCTGATAAAAATGTCCTAAAATTGTTGGTAGTTGTACAACTCTTAATTAAACCATCTAGTCATGTACATGGTGCCTTTTATAGTATATGAATTATTTCAATAAAGCTGTTAAAAAATTACAGACTTCTAAGTGCTGGGTTAACATGAAAGCCTGATCTGTTATATCTTGTTACTCTTAACTTTTATAAAAGCATAGTAGTTTAAAACAAAACACAGTTTCATTTCTTTCTCAATATATCATCACATTTTCAATATATATCATCATCCATCTTTTTCCTTTATTCTTTATGGAACATATTAAAATTGGTATTGCATTTGCATCCTTCCTTCTGTATAAAGTTCTTTTGTATGAGGAAACAGTTTGTATCTGGATTCCAGTAGCCTGATTCTTTGTGCACTGTGCCTTTCCACATACCTCCTGCAAACAAGCCGTGAACTTCAAAAGTAACTCTTCTCTTAGAGAAGACACACAGAGGAGGGATATGACCCTATGTATGCGGCTTTAAGAAGAAAGGGAGAGCCCTCGCCGTTTTAGTTCAGTGAATAGAGCATCAGCCTGCAGACTGAAGGGTTTGGGTTCAATTCTGGTCAAGGGCAGCAGGTACCTTCATTGCAGAGTCAGTCTTTGGCCCTGATCAGGGTACATGCAGGAAATCCATGTGTCTTCTCATATTGGTATTTCTCTCTCTGTCTCTTCTCCCCCCTTCCACTCTCTAAAGATCAATGGCAAAATATCCTCAGGTGAGAATTAACACAAAAAATAAATAAATAAAAGAAAGGGAGAGAAAGGAAAAGAAATGATGCTCTTTGAAAAGATAACATTTGAGCCTGGCCAGGTGGCTCAGTTGGTGGGAGCATCATCCTGTACACAAAAAAGGTTGCGGATTGATCCTTACTTGGGGTGCATACAGGAGGCAACCTGAATGTTTCTCACATCAGTTTCTCCCCTCCCCCCCCCCCGACTTCTCGCTCTAAAAATCATAAACATATCCTAGAGTGAGGATTTTAAAAATAAATAATACAGTATTTGGTTTGTAGAGATCTTTTCAAAATAGAAACAATGTTGTGCAATATTTTTTCCTCCATTTCTTTTATTGTGAAAAACTCTTAATTGTAATATCTCTTGTAAAGTTTTTATAAAACATAACTGGCTTAAAATGAACTACTATTATAAAGCTTGCAACTGAAGGTTTCCAAAAATAAGAAAACGATGATAAGAAATCATTATTTGTTGTTGTTGATAATCCTCACCTAAGGATATTTTTTCCATTGCTGTTCAGAAAAAGTGGGAGGGAAGCGGGGAAAGAGAAAAACATTAACCAGTTGTCTCCTGCATGTGCCCAATTGAGGGGTGGGGAATGAACCTTTTAGTGCACAAGCGATGCTCCAACCACTGAACCACTTGGTCAGGGCAGGAAATCATAATTTTTGTTGGCATATGCAAAATAATTATAATTATCTATGAGATTAAGAAATTAAAACCAGTTTTTTGAGCATCATTATGGTACAGGTCAAGATCTAATAAGAGCAAAGGTATCTTTTTGTAGATAAAGTACTGTAAGTGTTCAACTAAAACTGTACTATGTTCACTGGCTCATTTATGTCACAAATGGCAAGAGCAAAGTGTTAGGGGAGGTACTTCCTTATGTACCACACATAGCAACAAGTGGCTGCTTTATCCTTTTGAGAGGGCACAAGTCTTGGCCCTTTTGTAGTTTACTTCCTGGGTGACTAACACATTTATCCCAGAACACATGAATTGCTTAAACTATGCTGTTTCTCTCTCTCTCTACATTGACTTAGAGACAAGTTAGAATTCCCAGACAGCTCTATAAAACTTTAGATTATATTTCACAATATAATTGAAATAATATGGAGAAAGGAAATAGAATATTTGAGCTGAAGGCACATTTTTCATATAGTAATGCTTCAATCCAGCGATTTTCAAACTGTGTTCCCCAAGAATTTTTAAAACCTGCAGTACCTGACTATTTAGTCAGGAACACTGACCTCTTTTCCCTTACACTGTCAAATTAAAATATGACAGCAAACAAAAAAATAGCCTTCCAGTCATGAATGAATTAAAATTATTATTATTGTTTTGTCAGATCTGCAAAAAATATATTTTTTAGTGTGCCATAGATTTTAGTAATTAGTTTGTGTGCTATCAGATGAACATAGGAATAAATTAAAATGTAGTAGGATCATACTGCTTATTAGTAATGGATTATGCACTAGAAAATTCAGAGTATCGATTATCCAATAAATGTTAGCTAGTATGATATTTACTCGTGCTGGGCACAATACTAATTATTTTATATATTTTATCTCATTTAATTCTCTCAGCATCCCCATTAAATATAGATATCTTTATTATTCCCATTCAACAAGCATTGAAACTAGAACTAGAACAGTCCAGTTAAATGCCCAAACCCACTATTGGTAAATGACTGAGTCAGAACTAGAACCCATGCCTATTCCAGAACCTATGCTCTTAACTGCTGGGTAGTGTAACAGGTAATGTCCCACAAAGCCACTAAATATTGGGTTTCTGCATCACTGTTTATTTTCAGCTCAAAGAACTTAATAAAACTGAGAGCATGCCTTTATGAAGTCTTATGATTTGTGGGGTCAAGGTTGGGAGGATAGAGAAAAGTGGTTTAAGGATAACGTAAAGGCCTCAGAATAGGAGGATGCTAAAGTTACAGTGAAGGGATACAAACCATAGAAATAGCCACTAGCCCAATGGCATTAATTTTAATTATTGGAATATATTCTTAGGAGTCCCAAATAATTATTTTCCTTACAATGAACATCTGTTGGTGTATTGGGCACTGTGCTAAACATTGGGTTTATAATAATGAACATGTAAAATAATTATAGTTTGCAGTAAGTGATAAGGTAGGAATAAGCACAGTGTGAACATTGAGAATAAAAATGAGTGGAATCAATTACATAGATGGTCAGGAAAGGCCTCTTGGAGAAGGCACCATGAAGCCAAGACCGCAGAATGAGATGATGCCAGGCCTATTAATTGCCAGAAGAGCTTTCTGGTAAAATATCTAAAGAATTTCATTTTTTGAAAGCCTGAGGGCATGGAGCAAAGCCGGAGAGTCAAGAGGCGAGGAGGGGATTCTATGAGATGAGGCTAGAGAGGTAGATAGGGCCAGGTCAAGCAGGTTTCCTTGGCCATGCAGGGAGTTTGGATTTTAAACATAGTAAATGATCTGGTTTTTGTTTCACAAACAAAATACAAAACATTTCTCGCTTCTATGTATAAATTGGATCAGTAAAGCCAATAAGGAAGCAAAAATATTTAGGAAACTGTTGCTGAAGTCATTATGAAGTATGATGATGGCTTAAATGTGGATGATAGCTGTGGCAGTGCAGAAAATTAGTCAGGCTGTGTACTGGAAGTAGAAATGACAGGACCTTGTAATGAATGTGAAGGGTAAAAGAAAGAGGAAGCAATGATGCTTGAACAACTGGGTGGATAGTGGTGCTTCTTATTAAAGGGAAATCTGGAGGAAAACAGATTTGGGGAGAAAATCAAGATGTCTGTTTTATAGACTGTGGAGTTCTTGTTTTTACAGATCAGGAAGGGAGACAGACAGGGGGGGCCTTTATTATATTCCTTTTGCTTCTTTTAAACCTCCAAAGCTCCTTAGCACCTCAGCTTGTTAGTAACTAATGATAGTGTTTTGCATACCCTTGTACACATATGCAGTCAACAGAGAGATGAACTTAACTGAAGAAAACAGATGAGCCTAAGAAAATACTGCTCCCCAAATTCTGTTATTTAACTAGACTTCCCTCTTTCAGCTCATAATTTCTTTGCACTAATGAAAAACCATAAAATTTTAATTATATTTATGCTAAGTATTTTGTGTTGCCATTTCATCATTATTTTTTTTACCCTTTTTATCTTTTAGATCCATGTAAAAGCTCATTTTGATTATGACCCTTCAGATGACCCATATGTTCCATGTCGAGAGTTAGGTCTCTCTTTTCAAAAAGGGGATATACTTCATGTGATCAGCCAGGAAGATCCAAACTGGTGGCAGGCCTACAGGGATGGGGATGAAGATAATCAGCCTCTAGCTGGGCTTGTTCCAGGTAAGGACAAAATTGTAGAAAGTACATATATAGTTAAAAGAACATTTAAAAAGCAGACCTTCACAGAGAAAACTCTTTTTCATGTCTTTTAAAAATAATTTTGAATAATTGCTTTTTCATGCAGTTGGGATTTTATGTTGCAACTGTAGCATAAATATCTTGAATACAATTGTGACCAATTTGTTGGGCTTTAGAATGAAATTACTATGTAATATAATATTAGATCTGTTCTTTATGTGTATGAGATTATAGAAAGTTACAAGTCATCTGCTTTTAAACCCAAAAGCTGGAAACAAATTTGTCAATATTTGGTAATATTTCAGGAAAGGAGGAATGAATGAGCTTCTCATACTGAGTTGAGTGGCTGATGCTTTACCATTGATTCTTCACAATATCAGCTGCAGGACATTCCTCAAGAATCCTGGAGTATTGGGCAATCATCATGGTTCTCTACTCAGTGCTTCTGCCAAATATCAATTTGATATCTTCTTACCATGCCAGCCTTAGCCCATAAATATTTAGAACTGGTGTTTATTGACGGATTGATTACATTGAGTTTCTGAAAGTATATAGATGAGTCAAGGAGATTTCAGTGATATCATTTGCAGGTCTTTTATGGGACAAATAAATGGACCCACCTTAGTTTGAGTTTGACAATGGTTTTCTGTTAGAAGGATTTTTAAGAGGTCATAATGCCCATGTCCCATTGGTGTCTGATTCTATCTCAAAAACAGTTACATACGGGCATACTATAAAAATGTGCCATAGAAGAATCACACTGTAATCTTTTTAAACATCTTAATATATAAATTATTAAAATTATTTTGTTCCTTATTTTTTTCTCTGTTAAAGACAAATACTTGTTTTCAAATATTAATGCTCTTAAAATTTCCCCTCTAGTCATAGTTATTTGTTTCCCTAGAAATATAATCTGTATAGCTCTAGAGATAACCTGGTTGCCTTTAATACTTCTTATGTGTATCAAACTCATTATTTTCACTTGTGATTTTATGAAACACACTTCATTCTATAGGTTATTCCAACATAGATGGAATAAAAATCCCTGGCATGAAATGGAAAGTAGATATAACAATATAATGTAAAAGTAGACCTCTAATACAGAAATTTTGAAGTAAAATTATTTTCAGCCTTCAGAAAAAAATATATTTGGATTTAAGGTAGATGTCTTAAAAGAAAGTGAAGGTCAGAAACCTTGATAGCTTCCTATATTAAAAACAATCCTTAGAAGAAAAATAGTATTGTTTTCATTTATTTGTATCGTTAGTAAAGGTGGAAATTTTAAAAATCATTAAAACATACATACATACAAAGAGGAAAGAATAATTAAAAGGGAATATGTTGAGTAGTGTCTTGGAGTTAAAAATTGATGAATATTCACATATTATTTTATAAAGTTAACTTCTAGAATGAATTTGCTTGATTTCCTATAATTCCGAATGATCCAGCATAATACTTTTCATTTAATAACTACTGAATGAAAGCTTTGTAAAAATTGAGCTATTAAATTTTCTAACACTAGCTTATGATTTATCTTTTTTAATAAGTAAGATAGTCTAGTAATAAATGTCTTAGAATTGGTTGAGAGTGAGATTGAAAATATGTTAAACATTTGGAGGCTTTTTTATAATCATAGCTGACAGAAGGAATTAGGAGGGCATATAAATGAGTAGTTACTCCTGGTGTTTTCCCTTGATGTTTTTAAAAAATACTTCTGTTCTTCTGTCTTAAATATTTTACTCTTTTTCCTTTCTGCTCTTAAGGGAAAAGCTTTCAACAGCAAAGGGAAGCCATGAAGCAAACAATAGAAGAAGACAAGGAGCCAGAAAAATCAGGTTGGACATTTTTATTTGGCATTAATGAGAGATTTTTTTGGTCTTCATCTGTAAGTATATTTAAATTTACATATCAGTTTAGAACTGGCATAAAAGATGTATTCATGGCAAGAGTGGTGTAAAAGGCAAAACTGGTTATCTTAGAACTGTAAAGAAAGGACAGGATTTAAATATTACAAATACTTCTCTGGAAAGAGTTTTCCAATGAAAATTGTAATGTTTATAAATCTAAATTAATTATTTGAGTGCTTCTATTTGAAATATGTAGCTTTGTTTAAGGAAACAAATACGACATTTATAGTTATGTTTATGATTATTCAACAGGAAAACTATGGTGTGCAAAGAAGAATAAAAAGAAGAGAAAGAAGGTATTATATAATGCCAATAAAAATGATGGTAAGTTCCATTCCCAGTGATAACTGGATTTATATCTGAAAGAGGCCAAAATTAAATTGATATTTTCAGGTAGTTTTGTTTCTGGTCCTGTTTGGCCTCTTAATGTGACACAAGGGCTTAAGAAAGTCATTTAACAAAAATATTTTCCTTTAGAATCCTATGAGTAATGCAGTCTTTTGAATTTGAAGAAAACTGGTATAAAAATTAAAGTACAATGTGTGTGTATGTATAGTGCTATATGGATATTTCTCTAATTTTGAGGAAATGGAACTGAAATTTCTCTTAATTTTTTTCTACTCAAACTCTTTGTGAAATTGATACGTGCTTCTAACAAATTCTAACAATATAGCTGTATTTAAAGTAAACAATATTTTGTCTATAATAACTCCTGCTACTAAAACAATTCATTCCACAGAGCCTGCTACCTGCTAGCAGTCAAGTACATGGAGTTTTTTGTTCTATTTTAAAGTTGGTACTTCTCTTAAAATCAAAAGCTCTGATAACATGTGACTCATATTCCCAAGTGACAACACTCTGCTGTGCCTGATGATGGCTGTTGCCTTTATATTGGGCACCTACTACTGTCTTTGTTTAACAGTTTCTACAACTTCCATTTTTATAAACCAACCTGATTTACTGCTCTCATTACCTTCTTGGTTGGTCTTGTATGGGCATCAGATATTCTACCTCTGCTTTGGTTCATGTTACTAACAAGCCAAATAATAAAGTCAAGGCACTCCTTAACTTCTTAAACAATTTATAAGATTTATCAGTACTTTGTAGTTTTTTAGGCAGCATAAATTAAATCAATGACAAAAATTATATTGTTGAAAAACTCCGTATAAAACTATATCAGAGATTCCATTTACTTTAATTTTTTTTTTTCAAAATAAACCTTAACACTTTGTTATATTTATGTAACTAAGAAGATTTATTGAATTTTTAATCCTTTCCTCTATATTTGGGTAGATGATTAAATCTGTATTTCATGTTTTGAAGTGCACTAAAATTAATTAATTCAGCTTGAATAGCTATTATACTCTAGAAAATTTGCAAATCTGAAATCTACAGATTATGAACCAAGTCTGTACATCACAGTGCTGCCAGGAACTTAGCCTTTTCAGAGTAAAAAGATTTTGGGAAGGGAAGGTGTCATCATAATTAATATTTTTATTAATAATAACTCATTTATAACTTTTACTCTAGGGAAGCTAACTATATATACTTTTAATACCTTCATCCATTTAGTTCTCACAATAAATTCCTTGATCATACAGATAAATAAATTCAAATTCAGATATTAAAGTAACCTGCTTAAGTTCTTACAAGTAAGATATGGTTGAGCTGAAATCTAAGCAAATATAGTTCCTGCTCTGTGCTCTGGGCTAGGCACTGCTCCCATGGAATCAGCTGGGAGGGTCTGACCACACCTCTGACATTCTTTCCCAGTCTGGGAACTGGTGCACGTGAGAGGATGGCAGGCTGCTATTGTCTGCCTTTGTTCTTCCAGCTCACCAGCTCTGATTTCATCTGAATTATGGGCTTTAGGAATGTCAGCCCCTCCCCCATCGTAATTTATACCTCTTCTTGAATCATGACCTCATATTCCAGAACAAAGTAAATATAAAAGCAGGAAGTGTGAATGGCAAGTTTTATCATCTCAGAAAAGTTTTCCAGCTATCTCATTGTAGCCACTATTTTGAATGTTCATACCACGTATTGTGCTCAGCATGCACATTAGGTCTGATCCTTAAACTAGCCCTCTAAATAATGTGTTAGTATCATCATTTTGCAAAATGGTAGATGTTATTCTCATTAGTTTACCACCTGGTACCCTACCCCCTGTCAAAGTACTGACTGCAAACTAGCTATTTTACATAAGGATCAGTATTGTCATATTATATTAAACATTCAAACAGTCTGAAATAAGAGAAGCAATAAAAATTTCTATAATGATTCATATATTGTCTGATTAATTTTCATAGTATTCTGGAAAGGCTATAATGACAGGGGAAAATACTCGTGATATAATACTATCTTGATCCAAAAAGTTAAGCATTTTTAATAATAAATTGTGCTCTTTCAGTTTTTTCGGAAGATGTATGAGTGTTTGTTTATTACATAGCAGTAAGTCTGTCTAAAGAGCTTAACTTTTTCTTTTTCTAAAGACTATGACAATGAAGAAATCTTAACTTATGAGGAAATGTCACTTTATCATCAGCCAGCAAATAGGAAAAGACCTATCATTTTGATTGGCCCACAGAACTGTGGCCAGAATGAATTACGTCAGAGGCTCATGAACAAAGAGAAAGACCGCTTTGCAGCCGCAGTTCCTCGTAAGTTTGGATGCATTCCCATTTTCCTGTGCTTTCAGTTCACCGCTTTAGAATCTAACTTACACAGGCAATTATCAGAACATTGTTGTCAGGAAAGAAAAACTTTGTTTTAACCAAATCTTCTTGAGAAATTTCAATTTTCTTAAGGATATGGTACTAATCACTTTCTTAATGAATTTCATTTTGCACTTCCTATAATTCCTGTTCACTATGGAATCAACATCGGGTTTCAACAACTGATGAAGAAGATAGAAATTTAGACAAAATCTCTGACCACAGAAGTTCTGTTTAAAAATTATATGGTACCTTACATAGCACCTAATCTTATAGAAATAAACTTCAGAAAAGGTGAATAGTAGTGTTTTAAATGCAAGGTGAATTAAAGTGTAAACATAAAATATATTGTTATTAATATAACTATTAATAGCATACAAAAGACAAATTTTTGTTCATTTCTCAAATTAGAAATAAAACCAGTATTAAACACATTCCTAAATGTTCCTAACATTTCCTCAGTTCATTATTGTATAATCTGTATTATGAAATAAAACTTTTTTTCTGATTAGCAAAATTACTCCCCATCCTTACCATGATCAATACCAATTATTTTTACCTGATTTTGTCTGTCTAGATACAACTCGCAATAGGCGAGACCATGAAGTAGCCGGTAGAGATTACCACTTTGTTTCTCGGCAAGCATTTGAAGCAGACATAGCAGCTGGAAAGTTCATTGAGCATGGTGAATTTGAGAAAAATCTGTATGGAACCAGCATAGATTCCGTACGGCAAGTGATCAACTCCGGAAAAATATGTCTTTTAAGTCTTCGTACACAGGTAAAGCTGTTTTGGTTTAGGGTCTTGAACTTAAGGACATTTTTTACAAAGTAATTTAGTGGAAACTGTATTTTGGTCCAAGAACCACAGGACCTAATTAAGTTCTCATATAACTTTTCCCCACTACACCCTATCTGAAACCAGACAGATTGCTAAATCTCATTTTTCTCAGAGTCAAATACATACATACATACCTATCAATACACATATACATGTGCATAGTTTCTAAAATTTAATACATTAACTTAGAAATTGGGGATTTTAAAGATTGTTGTAAAAAAGTTTTTCTAGTCTAGACAGCTTCAGAATAAAATTTTCTTAATAAATCTGCATATGTCAACTTAGGAAATATAAGCAGTGGTTAATAAATATATAGGAAAGGAAATTGACTCTAAAATTGTTCCCTTGAGCTCTGGCTCAGTTGATTGGAGTGTTGTCCCATACACCAAAAGGTTATGAGTTCAATTCCCATTCATGGTACATACCTAGGTTGCAGGTTTGATACCTGGCCAAGATTTTTATCTCTTTCTCTCTAAAACAATTAATAAAAACATATCCTCTAATGAGGATTAAAAAATAATAATGAAAATAAATAAAATGGCTCTTGAAATAATTAGATTTTCTTTGTTTTTGTTTTTTTGTTTTTAGTAGATAAAAGACTTTAGTCTACTATTTCAATTGTAAACATTTGAGAGAAGTATAAATGTTTTTACTAAACTCATTCAGAATTCTTGTATTATTTGGGCCAGCAGATGTAACAAAGAACATTAAGAAGTTAAACATATTGTCTTAATGTTTTTAGGTTAATATAGGGAGGGTACGACCCTATAATTCCCATTTTGATGGACTGCTTCAGTTGACAGCACGCTGTCATGTGGTGGCAAAGGTGACGTGAAAGCCACACTTCCCGCTGAAGCTAGTTTAGCTCAGTGGATAGAGCTTCCGCCTATAGACTAAAGGGTCCCAGGTTTGATTCCAGTCAAGGGTACCTACATTGGTTACAGGCTCCTCCCCTGCCCAGGCCCTGGTCAGGGCTTGTGAGGAAGCAACCAATTGATGTGTCTCTCTCACATCAATATTCCTCTCTGTCTTTCCCTCTCTCTTACATTCTCTCTAAAAATCAACAGAAAAATATCTTCTGGTGAAGATTTTTTTTTAAATTTTAAAAGCCACACCTCCCAATTCAGATACTCTCCTTTTCTTGGATGTGCTTTTCCAAAATTTGTGTGTGTGTGAAGTTTTTCTCTCTGTGCTTCCATTTAGAACCTGGCACATTGTAAACTGACTGCTCATTTTTACTTTCTCTAAAAATGGATTTTTAATATGGTTATTATAATCTGCATGTGATCTTATAAACAGGGCATTTTAACATTACATAGTGTAATCCTTCATTTATTTTTATCTCATTACATAAAAAGAGTGAACCAATTGTGTGTGTGTGTGTGTGTGTGTGTGTGTGATTTTATAAATAGACAATATATATTTACAGTGAATAGTAGGATCCTAAAATATTGTGAATTTTTTGTTACAGAGATGTTTGGAAACACTCATAGGTTATGGTGTTATTGTTGTTTAATGACATTATTATATTCCAAGTATGTTATTGGGAAGTAGTTAAATCAAGAAAATTATTTTAAAGATCCAAAATATCTTTTCTTTTCAGTCATTGAAGACTCTCCGGAATTCTGACTTGAAACCATATATTATTTTTATTGCCCCCCCTTCTCAAGAAAGACTTCGGGCATTGTTGGCCAAAGAGGGCAAGAATCCAAAGGTAGAGTTATTATACTGTTGTACTATTCCACTGAAAGTAAACATGAAACAGTAATGGCTATTATGACACAATACTTAAAAACTACATCAGCTTGAGCTTTCAGAGTGATTATTCTTTCTGCCATATCACTTTCCCCAAAATTGCCATGATTGCCTCTGGTTAGACCCTGGCAGCTCTCCAAAGAAGCTGGCTTCTCGTGTTGTTCCCCATATATTCCCTATTGTACCCCAAATATATGGCAAGATTTGGCATTCCTTAACACTTCCTTGATCTTCCAGCAGGGATTATGTGATACTTCTAACACATACAAAAAGGGATCATCATATTCTTAGGGATTGCCCACTGTTCTCTGCAGATTTTCTCCATGTGCGGGGAGCCAATATTGAGTGCCCTTGTTTTTCTCTTTTTTCTCATTGAAGCTTTATATTTTTTGTCTCCTCCCCTTGATCTTCTTACATGATTTGAAATGTTTTAAAAATTATTTTAGATGCTGAACATGGTTGAGGTAGTCTATTATATATACTAAACATTATTAATAATTCGATGATATGGCTTTTTATTTAAATGTGTGAACTAAAAACTGTCATGTGAATTGCTTTGTCAGAGTAACAAATACTTAGTCTTCCTTGTTTTTTTCTGATTTTTATAATATTTCTATTTAATAGCGGATTCACTTAATCTCATTTCATTTGCTATGCCCCTACCTCTCCTTAAAAGCCATAAAAACAAGTAATAATGTTCTTCCTTGAAAGTTATTCAAAGTATATAATAACACGCTTTTCCTTCGATTCCTGACTTTACCACAGCCACCAACCCTGCTACTTCAAGATACTCCTTTTCACTCTAGGTCTACTTACATTTCTTATTCAGTGTATATAATGGGGAGCTAGTATTTTCCAATGTCTTAGGCTCTAGACATCAGGGATTTCCCCATCCTATATGTTGAACATAATGTTTAGGCTAAGTAGATTAGCCAGTTAGAGTAGTGTTTCACCCCTTCTTTATTTTTTGCAGCACAATTATAAGTTCTTAAGTAAGTGGGATCAGAGTGTCCTTAGCACTTGGGATGATACACAAGAAATATGAGACATGGTCACTTGCTATTTTGTGGCAATGTATAATAAGAAAAATAAGGTTAATACTCTATGAAACTTAGTGCCCAGTGACTTTGGTAAACAAGAAAAGGAAAGGAATGCATCTTAAGGACCAGTGATCCATTCTGCTTGTTCAGCCTTATTTTCTGTTTCAAATGGCATGCACGCTCTTTTTCAGTTAGGCTGTTCTTCTTCAACAAGGATTCAGTGTTGTGCTAAAGGCCATACACCATTCCAAAACATGATAAGCAACTTTGTTTTGGTTAGTGTTCTCTGGCAGTGCTCTCATGGTATTTTTTACCTACTGTATTTTAAATTAGTCATCCTAATTTGAGTGAGAAAGATAACAGTTACACCTATTTTTAAAGCATGGACTTAATCAGTACCAAATGTTTTAATGGTATACAATATGCTTGATTTTCTAATTAGAATTTTCTAATTTTTAAAAATCAACTTTATTGAAGTTACTTTACATAAATAAAATGCATACATTTTACTTGTATAATTCATTGAGTTTTGGCAAAATGCATACCTTTGTTACTACTATGCCAATCAAGATTTAGAACAGTTTCATCACTCCAAAAATTTCTCTCATGTTTCTTTTATGTTAATACCCCTCCAACCTTCCCAAGGCAAACATGAATCTGCTTTGTCTGTTCTTAAAATTAACATAAATGGGACCACATAATATGTTTAAGTTTGCATCTGGCTCTGTATCAGTATAATGTTTGATATTGATCTATGTTGCATCTAACAGTAGTTCATATTTTCTATTGCTAAGTGCAATGTATACCATGATCTAAATATATTACAATTTGTCCACTTACCAGTTAAAAATATTTGGGTGGTTTCCAACTTTTAGTTGGTGTGACCAAAGCTGCCCTAAACATTCATGTTCTTTGGTGGACATATGTTTTGTCCTCTTGAGTTGCATCAAATGCTAAATGCCTGTTTAACTGTATAAAAACTGCCAAATTGTGTTAAAAACATTTTGCCACTTTATGCTCTCACTTTGGTTCCATTAGCTCCACATTTTTACCAACTTTTACTATTGTGTGTAGCAATTTTTTTAGTTGTAGTAGGTGTGAAGTGTTATCACTATACATTTTCCTGTTGACTGATGATAGCATCTTTTCACATAGTCATTTAGGCATGTTCTTTTGTGAACTGCCTCAAGTCTTATTTTTTTAATTGTTATTTTTCTTATTCTTTATATCTGTATATAAATATTTTCTCAGAGTCTTTGTATCTTTAATTATTTTGAAGGTCAGAAATGTTTAAACTTAGTGAAGTATACTTTTTTTTAAAAAATTTCTTTATTGATTAAGGTATCACATATTGTCCTCAACCCCCCCTTCCAATACCCCACCCTCCCTATTCATGCCCCCACCCCCGTATTGTCCTTGACCCCTGGTTAGGCTCATATGTGTGCACACTGAAGTACACTTTTTTATTTTTCTTATAGTGAATGGGTTTTTTATACTAAAAAAATTTGTCTACTCCAGGATTATGAATATTTTATCCTTTGGTTTCTTATAAAAACTTTCTTGAATTAGCTTTTACTTTTAGTTCTGTGATCTATCTCAGGTTCATCTCTGTTTTAGTGTGAGGTAAGAGTGCAGATTGGCTTTTTGTTTTGTTTTGTTCTTTAGATCACATGTGGATATCCAGTTGCTGTACAATCATTTCTTCGGGGGGAGAGGGGTCCTTTTTCCCATTGAATTTCATTTGTACTTTTGTAAAAAAATGACCACAAATAATGAGCAAGGAGGGTGTTGGGGGGTGATTATAGATTATATCCGGACTCAAATTACATATTTATGCTAATATTGAATTGAATACCGTAGCTTTATTTTAAATCTTGGAAAATAGTCATAAAAAGGAATGAAGTGATATATACTATAATATAGACCATATAGTGTATGATTCCATTTTATGAAATGCCCAGGATGAACAAATCTATAGAGACCTACTGTAGATGAGTAGTTGCCTAGGGCTGGAGTGATAGAAAATGGGGAGTGGCTGCTAATAGGTATAGTTTTTTGGGGAGTGGGGCGGGGAGTGATGAAAATGTTCTGAAATTGAATTGTGGTGTTAATTGCACAGCTCTGTGACTGTACTAAAACCTCTTGAATTGCACATTTCTAATGGGTGAATTTTAAATGAATTAATATATCAAGAAATCTGTGGCTGTTTAAAAAAAAAATCTCAGCAGGCTTTATTGTAGAAATTGAAAGGATTTTAAAATTTATATGGAAATTAAAAGGAATACCCGAAACCCTTTAGTAAAAGAAATGAGTATTTTTGTCTTTGTTAATTTTCTTTGTTTGTTTTCTATTTAATTGGTGTGTCTTGTTTTTATTCTTTAGTTCTAATTTACATTAATTTGTACTTGCTCTACTGTCTTCCGTAGATGAGTTTTAAATCTTTTCTAGTAATATGAAGCTACAAATTTCAGCAGTTGATTAGTGTTGTGTTCGATAGAATTGGAAGTTATATTTCTCATTATTATTTTGTTAAAATGCTTCCTATTCTCTATGTCACTTTCTTCTTTAGCCCATCAGTTTTATTTATTTTTTTAATATATCTTATTGAATTTTTACAAAGAGGAAGGGAGAGGGAGAATTAGAAACATTGATGAGAGAGAAGCATTGATCAGCTGCCTCCTGCACAGCCCCTATCGGAGATGTGCCCGCAACCAAGGTACATGCCCTTGACCAGAATCGAACCTAGGACCTTTCAGTCTGCAGGCCGACACTCTATCCACTGAGCCAAACCAGTTAGGGCATGCCCATGGGTTTTTTTGTTTGTTTTTTTTTAAAAAAGTATGTAATTTCCACCTGTTTAGAGATTTCAAAAAATATTTTATTGATTTGTATTTCCATTTTGGTCAAAGAACATACTCTGTTGGACCTTAATTTATGGTCCAACTTGTGTTCCGTATTGGTGTATGTTCCATGCACACCAGTAAGAATATATATTCTGTATTTGTTTGGTAGAGGGTGATGTATCTGTTGCCTTTTAATTTCACTTATGTTTTATTTTTATCTCCTTTGATATTTCCAATAGTGCTTTATCACTCACAAAATTAAAGTGTTGTATAAAAACATCCTGTTTTAAGTGAGTGAAATTTTCTAGCTGGAAAGTGATGGTGTTTCTCTGGGTACAAAATGTAAAAAATCAATTGATTGTACTTTGAATCTCAGAATCTGTTCTGTTAAAGGGGGCCTTGAGAGCGGTAAACTGATAGTCTGAATTTAGTCACCCTATAAGCTAATTTTAAGCAAAAAAAATTTTTTCATTTTAGTCATGAATTATAATTTGAAAAATAAGAGGAAATTAAAACTAAGTAATATAAAAGCCATTGGAAAAAGATTAAATAACGTCTTAAATTTGATAAAGAAAAACTAGGTAGATTGGATATTCAAATGAATCTATGTATGATATGAGGTTTAACATTTACATTTCAACTTTAGCACCACAAAGTTTAGATTCTGAGTTATGTTTTTTCAATAATCTTAAGCTTTGAGTAGACATAAGTTTCAGCAAGAATGTCAGTGTGTTTGGTTACAATAGTGTAGCAGAGTCCCTGATAGGGAACAAAGGATTCTGTGTACCACAGCCAGATACACAACATTCCAGAATGAAAATGAGAGAGCTACACAAGCAACTGCCTCAGGACAAGCTAGAGCTGTCAGACTTTTAATATGTTTTCCTACTGTTACAGAAGTTCAACCAGCTGAATGATAGAAATAGTTTTGTATTGTGGGTCCAATATAATATGTAACTTATATCAGACATTTGGACTTGAGTTTAATTAGTTTTCTTTATCGACGGGTGTTTTGGAGGCAGTTTCATTTTCTTGAACAACTGTGCCTGATAATCAGGCACACAGCCTTGCCTCCTGCTTGTCTATGTGAAATAGATATTTCTCTTACCCAATATTTTAAAGGAGCTGCTCTGTGTTGTTTCCCAAACTCTTCTTAATATACTTTTTGCATCTTAAAGACATTCTTTGTGTATTGAAAACAAAGTAGAGATTTAACATATTAAGCTCAGTATGTACTTAATTACCCTCAGTATACACTGAATGGCCGGATTATTATGATCTCTGAACACATAATAATCTGGCCACTCAGTGAATATCCTATATAAAAGGCTAATATGCAAATTGTCCCCTCCCCCTGGCCAGGTTGGCCAGACCCCACCCATGCACGAATTCATACACCAGGTCTCTAATACACACACACACACACACACACACACACACACACACACTCTGAGTGGCCAAATTATTATGCATTCAGAGATCATAATAATCTGGCCAGTCAGTGGATGTGGGGGATTGGCTTCAGGATGCCTAGTGGATAACAAAATCCAAAGATGCTCAAGTCCCCTATATAAAATGGTATAGATTAATGCATGCAGTTGGCCCTTCACATCTGCAGACTCCCAACCTCAGGTCGTAAACAGATATACAGATTGATTATTGAAAAAAATCGGCCTATCAGTGGACCTGTGCAGTTCAAACTTGTGTTGTTCAGGGGTCAGCTATATTCAATTATTAAAGCTTGGGTTGACCAGCAATATTTTCATTAAAAAAGATGCCCATTTTATTGATCCTTTGCTTTTCCAATAAGATGTTTAACTTGCCCAACTCTGCAGTAGATATAAAGAACTGGGGCTCTATAAAGATGGCGCTTTGGGTCCTGCCACTCTTGCTCCACCCGTAAAGGTTCACTCTGTGTTACAACAGATGTTCTTTTAGAGGTTAGGATGCTCTAGAACATTTTAAAATCAATGTCTGTGGGGAACTCAAAGTAACGGTCTTTGCTCTTGAAGTCTTGTGGGTGAGATAAGACAGAAATATATGAAAACCTAAATCACAGTATAAATAGATCGTATTGAGTCCCAAATGTCTCACAGTGTGAGTCCTGAAGATGCCAGAAGAGCAAAGGAAGTCACTGTGGGAAGGCGCTCCTAAGGTGGAGTGCTTTGAGAGAAGGAAAGCAGTTTACTTGTTCTTTGGCCACCTTTGGTAAGGCGCTAACGTCACACTTTTTATCTGCTCTTTACAGCCAGAAGAGTTGAGAGAAATCATTGAGAAAACTCGAGAGATGGAGCAGAACAATGGTCACTACTTTGACACGGCGATTGTGAATTCAGATCTTGATAAAGCCTATCAGGAATTACTTAGGTTAATTAACAAACTTGATACTGAACCTCAGTGGGTGCCGTCCACTTGGCTGAGGTGAAGGAAACATCCATCTGCGGCATGATTGGACTTGATCTGGCACTGTCAGTACGAAGGTAAACCTGATACTTCAGCAAGACTCTGAGGGTAAGGTGGCAGGCAAAATAGGCCTGTTGTTAGATCTCAAACTGTGAGAAGAAAATCCCCATAGCTAAAGGCCTTTATTCCCTATAGCTTTTGGTTCTTAACTCATTTGGGGATTCTAAATGGAAGCTTTCAGTGGAGCAGTTCCATTTCATCCGTGTAAAAAACTTTTGTTTTCACCTAAATCTTTCCTGCCCAGTCATATTTCCATGAAAAGCGTATGTGTATATACACAGCACCCATGTCTCACATAGTTACAAATAGTAATGTTATTTAACAGTTAACTTAAATGACTTCATGGGGGTTTCGGGGGTGGGTAGGGGCTGTGCTTCTCTGAACTGGGCAAGATTTCATTTAGTTAGAAAACTGATTTAGTCATCAGAAATACTATCCTTAAAAATTTTTAGTGCTGAAAGTAGATACACACCAGATATCGAGAATTCACTCCAAAAAAATACATTAGTTTATAGTGATTAAAATATTTTTTAAGGTGCCACTTTGGTCTGGAACTACTCATAGGCTTGAATTCACTTGTGTTTTAATTCTTGAAAAAACATTCCGTTAGAAGCACCAATTTCTAGCTCAAGCTTTGTGGATTGGACTTTATCGCAGACTCTGATCTAGTTAAATGCATGACAACTTTTTAAACATATGATTTTATGAATTTTCCTTTGTCTCAACTGATTTGATAACCTTGCTTCCTTTCTCTGATCTGCATAGTACAACAGAATGTGTTACATTTTTTATGAATGGCAGATGTTCATATAAACTGTGTTGACTGTTAAAGTTTCTCATAATGAAGTTTTTTATATACATGAAAGGACCTAGCACCTTTGACAGTTTTTGCATTTTTATATAGGAGCACAGTATAATTTGATGACTGTGCTATATACAGGTAATAAACTGGAATTCTGTGATGAATATAGCTGCTGTACTGTATACTAATATTTAATAGATTGACAAGTGGTTATTGATACTTGTTCAGATTGGACTAAAATTATATCTGAGGGAAATACTATGGCAATTGACTTTGAGATCAGAAGGAAAGAATAACCTGAAAGTCATTTGAACATTTTATGAAAGGAACATGGGTGGGGGTGGGGGAAGTTAAACATATATGAAGAGGCTTTTGTCCTAACAACATCTGTCTCTTAGGACCATAATGCAATAACTTGTTAAATCATAAATGTTTAAACTAATGGGATTTTCACACTGGCACGGAAAGTTGACTTGTCTTTTCAAGACTTTCGGGATAGTGTGATGTGTGACAAAACCACCTCAAATGTGAATGTCATTTTATTTTTGTGATGACTTTAGCTACATTTCCTGTTCTCAAAGCTAAACACTGGAATAATATTGAATTGTCACTTAATTTAATGCAAGCAGTTTTTAACAAGTATTTTATATCATGTGTATATTTGATTTTTTTCTTGTCTACACACTTTGAACAAATGTAGACAGTTTATATGTTGCCTTTTTCTGTTCAAATTTGCATGGTGTTGAAGTTGGCTGCAGTGTATGTCTTATGTGGAAAGACTTTCAAGATGTTCATTAGGAAGAAACATCCTGGGTTGAGAGAAGGAATGCCATACATGCTGTCTCTGCAGGTCTGAAATACTCCAAGTTTATAGCAGGAAATGCACAGCTCACACTGATTTTTAGCATTGGAAACCAACGAACATAAGCACTTCATCTTCTCAGTCTTGCAGTTTTTCTCCTCAGGAATGAAAGGCAGTCAGTGGTAGACAGTGGAGTTTTGTGAGTTGCTTATCATTAATGACAATTTTTTTAACCTAAGATCTAAAAAGTTGGCAGTTTAAACTTCGTTAGAATGAGATTTCAGGTAGTGTCAGCCAGTGGTTGTTCCATTCCCTGAGTTAATCTGCAGACCGTAGATCCACATAACACCATGTGCTGACAAGACTCAGATGTGGCTTTAAAAGCAAATTTCCTACTAGGGTACATGCCATCCCATAGTATGCTTCAGGAAGTCTAAAGTGACAAGATATTTTGGGAGTCAATGAAGTCTTACAGTTCATTCCTCATCAGCAATGGTAGAGGTATAGAAACGTTTCTCCCAGTGCTGTGGATGTGCTGATAGTCAATACAGTCCCTAAGCAAAGTGAACACAGTTGTCACTAACTTCCTTGCAAGATAATGTAAACAAACCCTTGCTGTACACCTAGCCACTGTGGCCAGTTCCATTTCCTGTCCCTCTGTGGTTCTGATTGGAGACCCCAGAGTGGGGGAGGTCTGAACCACTTATAGGAATACCAATAGCTAGTAAAATGCACGTGCTAGTTCAAATAAGGAAATCTCTCCCTTTTGTAAATCTTAAGTCAGAACTAACGAAAAGGAGAACAGTATTTAATCCAGATTTACTATCTATGAAAAGCTAATGTCTGGATTTTTTCCCCTTTTCTCATGGCGTAAGGAATAAGTATCGATAAGGAATAATTTGAATGTAATTTTATGAATGTGTGTGAAAATATGAACCAGGGATTTAGCCTTAATAAGGTGACCTTTCTGATATTATTGTTAATCCTCCTTTGTATTTGTGTCCTGTATCTGCACTCTATTGTTTTGAGATGTTATACTGCACACTGTATTGTAAAAATAAAAAGTAAAATTATATTTCAAATAAAAAAAGCCACCAAGTACTTTCTCGTGCTTTATTTATATCCTCTGCTATTCAAGGTTTCAGCATATCTAACAACCATGCTGTCTTCACGTTTGTGCCAGCAGTCAGTCCATTGGAACCTCTGGGTAAAACACACATCTTTTAACTTATTCTTCACCAGAGGGGAATGCTCCCTATGGCACAGGTATTAAGTTCTGTTTCCTTCATTTTTTTAAAAATGAGCAACTCAAATTAATCATTTTACTGTTTATATCACAGTCACATGCAAATTGGCACAACTGTTCCATGACAAAGAGAACAAACAGAGACATGTCATGCAAGGTAAATTAAGGGGAGGCTTTCCTAAAGCTGGGAAAACGCCACAGAAACACAGGACGGCTGCAGCTCTCCGACAACAGCGCCAGGGGTGTGGGTGGGTAGGAAGGGAGGGTGCTCCGACAGTAGCTGGCCGCCTCGTATGGCCTCAGACCACTGCTGGTTCCTATGGGAGATTTCCTAATATGCTTGGTAAGCCGATCACTTGGAACCATTTATAACTGGGGTAGGGTGACACTTCTGTGGAATAAATTGTACAAGTTCTTAGGCAGGTTCTCCAAATCTCATCTGTGATCAATGGTTGGTAAATTCGGATTCTGCAAAAGTAATCCCATAAGTGGACATACAGGGAAGTTTTACAACCAGTGAAATTAGACCAAAAAATAAACCACCACACGAACCAAACCTACACACGGAACTAAAACAGTGTCACGTCAGGACTGAGAGAACCAGAGCAGGCAAGGTTACTCAAACAGAAGATCCTCGTCCTTCTCTTCAGCCAGAAGATTGGCAGGCTCTGTCACCTCTCCAGCTATCTTCCGTTTCTCCAGTTCCCTCTCAGTTTTTTCCTTGAGAATCTTTTTCTTCTCCTGTATTTTCTTTAACCTGTAAAGTAAAGGGTTTTTCTGAATGCTATTTCAGTACTCAGTAGATTTGCTTTCTTCTAGTTTTGTAACAAGGATAATAAACACAAACTAGAACAAAAATTTATTGTAATTTCAGTTTTAGTAATAGCCCATTAAAGATTTGCAGTAAGAAATAAACTGATTTCAAAAACTCCTATCCCAAGGTGAATAAACTTTGAAATCATTCCCTGATACTGGAAAGGATTTTGAGCATTTAGGCATTTATTAAAATTTTTTATTCCATTTGGCTCACCACAACCCTAAACATTACTAAAGGACAAAACTAACTAAACTTTGATAATTAAGACGAGAGGCCCGTTGCAGGAAGATTCCTGCAAGAACAGGGCTTCTGGTGGGCTTCCCTCCCACCACCACCTCCCTTCCCGCCCCCCGCACTTTCCCGCCAACCTCCTCTGCTCCCCACCCTATGCTTTCCCTCCTACCACTGCCACTCCCCTCCTGTGCTTTTCCTCTTTCTGCCGCCACTACCCTACCCCACTTTCGTGCTTTCCCTCCCACCGCCACCACTGCCTTCCTTTCCACTTTCCCTCCCTCTTCCTTCTATGCTGTCTTCAGTCTTCACTCCTTCTGTGTATGCAAATTAACTGACATCTTTGTTGGGTTTAATTTGCATCCTCGCTCTGATTGGCTGGTGGGCTTAGCGGAGTGAGGGTTAATTTGCATGTTTCTCTTATTAGTGTCAATTATAAATCATACTCAGATGCCACTCGGAGTTAAGAGGGCTGTGTCTTTATTAACCCTACTAACTCTATATGTTCATAACCAATTACATAAGTGCATTTCTCTCCAAGTACTGTACCAATTCTCTAATGGTATAGTTTACACTATTCTGTCCCTTTCTGGAACATAGTTGACATGTAATATGTACTGGTTAATTAATCCAGTTTCTTTTTCTGTGGGAGATAGTCACCCCCTTAAATCAGTTTCACTTTTTAAAGAAACCAAGTCTATTAATAGCTCCTCTGACTAAAGCTTTTGGAGATGCTGTTTTAGGTATATGCAAAACTTGGCAGAGATCTGTCCTCATAGCCTTTGGCAATATTATTTCTTGTGGTTACATATCAGAGTAAAATGCAAGCTATGCTAATTCTAAAGAACAGAAGCCAACAAATTTCTCAGCAAATAAGAGACATTGGAATATGGAAAACAGAAAACGATCAGTAACTGCCAATGCCAACAAACCTATAGAACTCTTCTCGCTCTCTCTCATCCAGCTCTGCGATGATATAAGCAAGGGTACGTTCAATCCTGGGAATGATGACTAGGGTTTAAAAAAATATATACCTGTGAGAACTTTAAACTTTTTTTTTCTAATTGCCAGTGCTCATTTGTATACCAGTTATATTTTCTAATTATAAAATCAATGTACATTTAATGCAGAAAATTTAGGAAACAAGAACATAAAAAATATATATATAATCCAACCACCCTAAAGTAACTATTACAAACATTTTGGTATATGCCATTCTATGTCTTTTCTTCAGACAGATAACATTGGATCACAATATATGTGTCACTGAATTCATGAATATATAACATTGAACAAGATTTGAATCTTCCACACTCAAATATACAGTAATCTGTGGAAAAGTAGAGCATCAAAGCACAGAGAATGCAGTAAGCTGTGTTTTGTGTCAGTAATAAGGTTCTGTTTTACATGGAATTTGCCTATTCTAGAATGTCAACTTGAGAGTTGGAACTATTACCTTATCCATTCCGTTTTGCTTGTAACTCCACATATAAGGGCTGGCACTAGCAAGCAGTCAGGAAATGTGTTTTCAGTTTTTTAAAAATGAGATAACTTCCTCTTTTAACACTAATAAAGCAAAATAATTCTTGGCTATTCAAATTTTTCTCCTTACCTTAAAATTGAAAAAATGTTCCTTTAATGAAAACTGAGTTTCTTAAGCAAAAAAAGTATTACATTAATACTTAGCAGTCAGTTTTGAAATAATAAAGATGGGAAATAATGCATCAAATGGGAAAATTTATTTTCAGAAATCAAGAGAATATAGGGCATTGTTTCTGTAGGACACAGACCTAAGGGAGAGGGATTTAACGTTAAATATTTGATGTATTAAAAAAATGCATCATTCGCTGGAAAGTACTAAAAATACTATAGCTCTTGAGAAATAGTTTCCACTCTTTATTCTAAATGTATAACCAACAGTGAATAAAATATCGCATAATTTTTAACTCACCACTCTCATCTAACACTCAAATTATACACCTCATATCAAAGCACTTAATAGTAACATTTTACAGCACCAATGACTCTGCACTACCCATTGTGGGCAGTGTGTACCACCTGGCAGTCAGTGCCCGATCCTAGCAGTTATGCAACAAATGTAGAGGCATGCACAGCAGATGAACAAAGAGGCCCACAGGCTTGCACTCACCATGTTCAATGGCATTTACACGCCTGTTGGTTATCTTAATAGCTTCATCCAAAGTAACAAAGGAAGTCTAAAATAAGAGGACAAATAAAATGTAAGTACAAAGTCTTCCCAATCCTGCCCTGTTCCTTTGCTCCACTCAGATGGCACCTGTGGAGGACATTTGGAAACCAAAACCAAAAGTCCTTTCAACAAGTTAAAAATTGTGAGATTTCCATAGAGCTAACACTGTCTCCATACTATTATAACTTACTTCAGGCTTACCTAAAGTTGTAAAAATGGCAAGAGGAGAGAATCATGCACAAATGACCTAAGATGCACCTTAGCTGGTCACAAAGGAAAGCCTCAGAGGTGTAGGAGGCTTTTCACTCATACACCGTGTTAAATCTGCATTTAAAGCCGCATTCCTTCTAGCAGAGTGAAACCTCCGCAGCACATTTTGTCAGTAACAAGTTGGGACAGTGGTGCAGAAGTCACTATTTCAGAAATCAAAACATCATTGACTTGTTTCACAGAAACAAACTGTTTCATGAAAGCAGTTTGAAGTACTGAGTTCAGTACACTCTGAGCCAAGATCTGAATCTCCCGCACTCAAATACTAGAAACCAAACAGCAGGGAGTTAGTTCTCTGCCTACCTGCAGTGAGGCGAGTTCCACCAGTAGTTCCACTGCTTTGGCATAGTTCCTCTTTAATTTAGCCAGTTGTTCCCCACCTCTGGCTAAACCAGTCAGTTCATAACCTGGAAGAACCAGTCAGACAACACTTGTAGAATAATCATCTTCCCTCTCAAATTCCCCAAAAGATGTCAGAACAGTGTCAAAATGGAAAAAACAAATATACTATCGCTATTAAATGCAAACATGAAGTGCCCATCGCCCTCCCCAGACACTACTGGACATGACAGTATCCACAGGGATACTCTTCTAACTGCAGGTGTTTAACCAACCCCCACTTCACCAGACTGCTGGAGTGACCAACATGCTCCATGCCCCAGTAGAACAAACGGCCTGATACACTCTGTTAATAGGTAACTCTCCAGAATGCTCTACTTTATTCGAACTGTACTAAATATTTTATGTGGACCAATGAAAGATGAGTGCCAAAGGAAGAACATTGCTATATTTCTAAAAAAAAACAAAAACTGATTACTTGGGACAGACTCAACAAAGATATTTTACTACTCCAAAAAATGCTGTCAAGTTAGGGAATGGTGAGACAGTGATTAAAAAAAAATATATGAGCCGAAACCGATTTGGCTCAGTGGTAGAGCGTTGGTCTGTGGACTGAAAGGTCCCGGGTTTGATTCCGGTCAAGGGCATGTACATTGGCTGTGGGCACATCCCCAGTAGGGGGTGTGCAGGAGGCAGCTGGTCAATGTTTCTCTCTCATCGACATTTCTGGCTATCTCTCCCTTCCTCTCTGTAAAAAATGAATAAAAATATTTTTTTGATAAAAAAAAAAAAAATGAGTGCGCTATGAAATTCTATGGAGATTCAGCATTCAGACTACATCAGTGTCCAAGATCTTTTTCTACTGTATTATGGGTGTGGTTTATGCAAAAAGACAACCTAGAAGTCTAAACTGAATTCATATGCAAAGAAAGGCCATGAACTTATATTTTTAAAATGTTACATGATTGTACACTTACATCTCTCTAGGTTAAAACATTTTAAGACATGTACAATGTTTAATGACTCCCTGACATAACACTTCTTTGATAAACTGATTACCTACTGTCCTAATTGTATCCGATAAGGCTCTAACATGGGAACCACCAAACTCAATCTAGCACCATTTTCCAGAACAAGGTTCATTTAAAGAGAAATCGGAGAACCCAGAGACACTTACTGTCGGTTCCTTCATGGTAATGTTCAAATATTGGCAAGGTAACACCTGTTAAACACAGAAAAAGTCAACAGATTGTCTGGAATTGTAACTGGTTTCAAGGAATAAAATTAGGAACCTTCCTTCCTAATTGTTCGATCCTATTCAAAAATTAAATTAGCCTGAGTAATAAGGGATCTGGTTGTTACAGTGGTGTTTTTTCCCCCCCTTCAGCTTGGAGATATACAAAACAAATTGCACATATTTAATACATGCATTTTGATGAGTTTAGATATATGCATACACCCATGATACCATGACAATAATCAAGATAATAAACACCATCATCTCCAAAAGATTTATGTGTCCTTTTCGTGTGCGTGTGTGTGTGTGTGTATGTGTGTGTGTAGAATTCTCAACATCAGATCTACCCTCCTAACAAGTTTTAAGTGCACACCACCATATTTTTCTATTGGCACTATACAGTACAGCATATTTCTGGAATGTGTTTATCTTATATAACCCTAACTTTATATACATTAAACAACTTCCCATTTCCCCTACTGTAATTCCCTGGAAATCATCAGTTACAATGGGTTTTAACATGTAAAGCCAATCAACTTGCTCTTAGAGTCTAAGTAGAAAAGATTAATTGGGATATCCAGACATCCTGTATAACCAAACCATAATAAGCTAATGATATGCGAAGGCCACTCAACTGCTCACTGGTGTGCACTGACCACCAGGGGGAGATGCTCTGACAGGTAGGTTAGCTTGCTGCTGGAGCCAGATATGCCCTGGAGTCCTTCTGCGGTCCTTCCCCAGCTGGCCAACCTCCAGCGTCCTTTCCAGTCCTGATCATGCATTAGTGCAGTCCCTCAGCCTAGCCTGTGCCCTCTTGCCATCTGGGACAATTTATAACATTGTCAGAGAGCTGGTTTTGACCCCATCCCACAGGCCAGGCCACGGGACCCCACTGGCACATGAATTTGTGCACCGGACCTCCAGTTGCTGTATAAACAGGTTAATTTTAAAATGTCACCTTTTCTCCCCCATGGAGTCTAAATGGTTGAAAAATTACCTGCTACATTATCTTTCTTTGCTCGAATCTTCACTTGAGCTTTATTCACATTTTGGATAACTGTTGTGCTGCAGGAGGGGGAAAAAGGGCCTTGGTTTAGTTGAGCTTTTAGAATGAAAGATAAACCTATCATTGGATAATTTTAACAAGAGTGAGGTATCAAAATTAAGTATGTCCTGAAAATGGTCTTTTTCCCCATAAAAAAAAAGGGCAAAAATCACTACTTCCACAGGAGGTCCTCAGAGAGCAAAGACTAAAAATTAGTCATAAAAAACAATAAAGAATGATTTTAAAGTATTTGGATTGCTTGAGTCAGACGTGGCATTTTCATTCTGTTACTGTAATTTAGAGAAAGCTTTCTTTCCTTTTAGGTTTGCTGTTCAAAACTTCTAAGTTAGGCAAAAGGAGTATAATTCCTCTTCTAGAACTTACCTAACTTCCATCTGGCTTTGTCTGACTCCCCATTTTTATCGTAACGTGTTTTCCCTAAAACCACCCTAAGGTATTCACACACCACCTACACACTACTGATTCCTCCCTCTGCTTGGAAATGCCAGTGCAAGTTGTTATCCTACCGACACATGCAAAACTTAGTCTACTGCTTCAGAGGCCTTGTGGCCCTCAGGCTGTGAGACGTGGCCCACCAGGTAAGGCTCCTAGACAGTAAGAAACACTAAGAATAAGGCACTGTGTCAGTGAGTAAAGAAGACTAAAATCAGCCCTGTACTGTGCGGCTCAGTGATTCGAATGTTGGCCCAAGTACCGAAGGGTCACAGGTTCTATTCCCAGTCAAGCGCACATGCCTGGGTGCAGGTTAAATCCTCAGCCCCAGTCAGCGCAAACAATCAATGTGTCTCTCTCACATCATCTCTCTTATCATTGTTTCTCTCTCAATCTCTCTTGCTCTCTCCCTTCGTCCTCTCTTCTTTCCTCTCCCTCCCTCACTTACACTCTCTCTGAAAACCAATGGAAAAAATATCCTCAGTTGAGGAATAACAACAAAAATTAAGAAAAAACACACACTAAAATCAAAACCCCTGAAAATAACTTCCACCTCTGCCCCTAAATAATCATTTGACTCAGGAAGGCACTGAACTTAACTGAGAAAAACTGCTTACCTCATCTACTTCACAGGCCTATTTGGAAATTGGCAAAACCCCTTTGTGAAGGAATACTAAACTATTTTGAATGCTTTGTAAGGCATATTTTGAGATGACAAAAGCCATAAAAGTCATGCCGCCTCCCCCCCTTTTTTAATATATTTTTATTGATTTCAGAGAGGGATATTGATCGGCTGCCTCCTGCACACACCACAGTGGAGATCAATTATCTTTTCTAATACCAAAAAACAACAGCAAATCAACCCAAACGCCTTCCATTAGGAGAAAAGGTTAATAAGTTATGATACATCTAGAGAAAGATTATGCAGCTAAGTGACAACAGGGAAAAAATGTTTATGATACCATGTTAAATAAAAATGGACCATAAAATATCAAGTATCTTGTGCCTACAGCGATGTAACAGATACAAGTCGGTAGTAATGAAGATGGTGATGTTAAGGGGATGGGGTTGAAAGTGTCCTTCCTTATTAATATAGCAATTGTTTTTAATGCTAATATTTTTTAAATTTAAAATGACTTTTAAATGAAATTATGAATATAGAACACTGATTTTTCAAAACACCCAATTTAGTCTTCTTACCTGAAGTCCCCTGCTGTGAACTTGGCCTCAGCAAGTGAAAAGGCAGCTTCTCTCATCACTTCACCCATCAGCATTTTAGTCTGAAAAAGTATAAACCAATAGCCGATTCAACCAAGTTATTTTACCATCAGAATTTCATGTCAGGTGTGCATGTGAATATAAACATTGACTTGATAATGATACAACAAAATAAAAATTTCCTATTTTGCTTTAACAGGTTTTGTTATGGTCATGATCATATTGCAAAACCATGAGTTTTATAAATAAAACATCAAAATAAAGACATTAAGAAAGAGAAAACTGAATCTTTACTGCAGGACTATGTTTTTGTTGAATGGATTCATAATGATTTGCTCAAATTAATCTCCTAAATTCACTACAGTGCAGTCAAAATCCTAATGGCATAGTGATTCGAAAATAAATCTGGAATATTTAATGTTTGAGAATATCCAATAATTTTTAAGAGAAGTATAACTGGGACAGTGGGTATAGAGTTACCTTACCAAGTATTAAAATGTATTTTAACTATAAAGAAATACATCTGGTACTGGAACACTAAGTCAATGAAAGGAAAAGAGAGTTCAGAAACAGCCCCACGACTATACTGGAATTTAACAAAGTAAAGAGACCACTCAACTGGTCATGCATTTCATGCATTTACAAAATGATGAAGCTAAATCCCTAACTCCTCAGATCACCCCCCACACACACACACCAAAAAAAAAAAAAAAAAAAAAAATGATTCAAGGTAAAGGTTTATTTTCAAAATTATAAAATAGCCCAGCCGTTAATTCCCAGTCAGGGTACGTGCCTAGGCTTTGGGCTAAATCTGCAGTAGGAGGAGTGCAGGAGGCAGCTGGTCAATGATTCTCTCTCACCATTGGGTTCTCTCTCTCTCTCCCTTTCCCTTCCTCTCTGAAATAAAAAAATAAAAAATAAATAAAAAATAAATATATATATATATATATATATATATATATATATATATATATATAAATTAAAATAAGATAGCAATTTTAGCACAACAGATTGGCAACAACAACAACAAAAAAAATTAATACCCAACTAAGAAGAATTTAAGGAAATAGGTCCTCTCACTAATCATTTATTAGAAATGTAAATTAGTATAACAATTTGAAAGGCAATTTGAGTTATCTATCAAACAATTAAACTATTCTTGAGATTCTAGGACTTTTCCAGAAAAATGCTAGCATACATACACATAAGGATTTAAGAGTACTCTCCCCCACAAAATGGTAAAACTACACATCCATAAATAGAGAAACAGTAAATTCCATGATCCATGCAAAGGAGTACCATTCGGCTATTATAAAAAATAAGACCATCAAAACCGGTTTGGCTCAGTGGGTAGAGCATCAGCCAGCAGACTAAAAGATTCCAGGTTCCGGTCAAGGGCATGTACCTTGGTTGCAGGCTCATCCCAGTAGAGAGTGTGCAAGAGGCAGCTGATCGATGATTCTCTCTCATCGAGGTTTCTAACTATCTATCCCTCTCTCTTCCTCTCTGTAAAAAAATCAATAAAATATATATTTTTTTAAAAAGAATGAGACTGAACTATATGACTATATGATGTAGAAAGCTGTTATCACTTTCTGCCATGAAGCGAGGGAAGGAGGAGTGGGGCAGAAAATATTATATAAATATAAATATAAATGTGTGTGTGTGTTTGTGTGTGTGTGTGTGTGTGTGTGTGTGTACTTGCATGCACGTTTCTTACCAAAAAATCTGTGTGTGGACATACAGCCACACAGGATACCATACTCGTGGTATATGCTTCACAAAAGCAATACTTTGAATAGGTGCTACCGAAGAAAGGCACTGAGATGTTCAGGGAGAAGAGACTGAGAGACAGAAGTTGAAAAGGATATAAAACAGAGTCTCTCAAAGAACTCCTCTGGGAAATGAAAAAAGTATAGTTGTGGCTAGGAGAGGGGAAACGGGAAAGAACCTTCATTTTTTTATATGCCACAGTATATAGTTTATCCAAAAAGCATGGAGGATTTGGATTTTACTAAGTGATCCATGCGAAACATTACTTTATAATGGTATTTTTACTTTTGAAAGAAAAATTAATTAAGAGAAATTAAAATGTCAACAGCCATGCTGGATTTTCCTTAGCTATTTCCAAAATAAAGACTGTTCTAAGCACAGCTCATCCACCTCTATGATCTTCTTCAGGATCTGTCGGAATCGAAGAGTGAGGGCATCGGATTTCTTCTTCAGGAGGTTTCGGCCTGTCTGTGCTCCTTTCAATCGAGCCTTCATGATGGTCTGTGCCCTACGTAAACAGAGTTACAGACATTTATTTCCAGTGTTTAAAAGAAAGAAAAATACCTCCCCAATACAACTATGCTTTATTCTTTGATGTCAACAAAATAATATATACAGCATTTGTAGCTAACAGGTTTAGTTGGTTTCTCAATACCACAGAGTTCTGCCCTCAAGTGTTCCCTAAATGAGAAGTTTATTTAAAACTAGAACAATGTTGCCGAAACCAGTTTGGCTCAGTGGATAGAGTGTTGGTCTGCGGACTGAAGGGTCCCAGGTTCGATTCTGGTCAAGGGCATGTACCTTGGTTGCGGGCACATCCCCGGGAGTGGGTGTGCAGGAGGCAGTTGGTCATCTTTTTCTCTCTCTCTTTCCTCTCTCTCTCTCTCATCAATGTTTCTAGTTCTCTATCTCTCTCCCTTCCTCTCTGTAAAATATCAATAAAATATAAAATAAAAAAAACTAGAATAATGTTTTAATCTATATCTGGCATAAATATTGTCATAATAAAGTTTATCAGGAGTGTTTTTCATAATTCCAACATAGTTTACTTAATGATTTATAAATTAAAACAATATCTGTTTCCATTAGAAGTGTTCTATCCCTAGCCAGTTTAGTGGATAGAGCATTGGCCCGCTGACTAAAGAGTTATGGGATCGAATCCGGTCAAGGGCACGTACCTCAATTGCAGGCTCTATTCCCAGCCCTGGTTGGAGCACGTGTGGGAGGCAACCAATTGATGTGTCTCTCTCACATTGATGCTTCTCTCTATGTCTCTCCTCCTCCCTTCCTAAAAATCAATGGAAAAAATATCCTCGGATGAGGATTAACATCAACAAAAAAGAAGTATATTAAGGATTTTTTAATACTCTGTCCACTAATTTATGCATTTACCTTCAGGACCAATAATTCCACTTTGAGGAATTTATCTTACAGATTTACTCCCACAGGTATACAATAATAATATGTACAAAATTATGGATGAGTTCTCCAACATCCTATCTAATAAAAGAGTAATTGACCATCACTCCAAAACACAAGATGGCTGCCCCCATGTGGACACAAGATGGCTGCCAAAAGATGGCCAGCAAGGGAGAGCAGCTGGGAGGGACAAGGTCTGCAAGGGAGGGCACTTGTGATCAGGCCAGCAGGGGAGGGCAGTTTGGAGGGACCAGGCCTGGAAGGGAGGGCAGTTGGGGGCAATCAAGCCTTCAGGGGAGGGCAGTTAAGGGTGACCAGGCCAGCATGGAGGGACAAATATGCTTATACAGATACAGAGAATAGGAAGGATTCACAGAAACTATAACCATTTCCTTTGGGAAAATGGGCTGACTTAAAAAAAAAAAAAAAAAAAAAAAAAAAAGATTGCCCTGGCTAGTTTGGCTCAGTGGATAGAGTATTGGCCTGCAGACTGAAGGGTCCTGGGTTCCATTCCAGTCAAGGACACATGCCTGGGTGGCAGGCTGGATCCCCAGTAGGGGGCGTGCAGGAGGTGGCCAATACATGATTCTCTCTCATCAATGATGTTTCTATCTCTTTCCCTCTCTCTCCCTTCTTCTCTGTAATCAATTAAAATGTTTTTTTTTAATAGATTTATTTTGTATTACTATATTAGAGGCCCGGTGCACAAAATGTGTGCATGGTACAGGTGCCCCTCAGCCCAGCCTGCACCTTCTTGAAATCCAGGACCCCTCAGGAGATGTCCGACAGCCGGGTTAGGCCAGATCCCTGTGAGATCTGGCCTAAACCGGCAGTCAGACATCCCTCTCGCACATTGAGACCATTGGCCCCTAACTATTACTTGCCTGCCTGATCGCTCTTAACTACTCACCTGCCTGCTTGATGACCCCTAACGCCTCTGCCTGCCTGATCACCCCTATCAGCCTCTGCCTGTCTGATCACTCCTATCAGCCTCTGCCTGCCTGATCAGCCTTAACTGTTTCTGCCTTCCTGATCACCCCTAAACACTTTGCCTGACTGCCTGATCACCCCTAACCACCTCTGCCTACCTGACTGCCTCTAAGCACTCTGCCTGCCTGCCTGCCTGCCTGATCACCCCTAACTGCTCACTGGGGGTCAGCCGCCAGGGTGAGGGGCCGAGGTCATCTCTGGTCGTTCTGCCATTTTAGTTGCTGGGCATTTATTATATAGGATTCTTTTGTACCTATTGTATTTTACTCCACAATCTTTTATTACTTTTTCTATTAAAATGTGGCATTAAAGTGTTTTGAAATCAATCAAAACCCTAATAGCAATCATTTTATATAAATGACTTTACATAAAAAGTGAATGTAACAAATTAGGTAACAAATGACATATATAAGCATTTATAATTTACTAGAGGCCTGGTGCACAAAATTTGAACACAGGTAGGGTCCCTAGCAGGGACCTTCCAGATGCCAGCCAGGGCCTCCCCTCCCCAGCTGCTGACTGGGGCCCTTCCTTCACTCCACACCACTCCCTGGTGATCAGCGCGCATCATAGCAAGCGAGCGAATTCCCAGTCTCCCAGGTGAATTCCCAAGGGGACACTTTGCATATTAGGCTTTTATATATATAGATTAAATGACATATGTAAGAATAGACTCCTGAGAATTGACAAGCTACTGAAGTCTCCTTACCACCTATTTCAATCTTTTCCCATGAGAAACCACAATACCAGAGTAAAAAAACCAACAACAGGAACTGACATTTCTGTTCTTGCTCCCATATGCCTGATAAAATTTAATAATGGCCCAAACCGGTTTGGCTAGTGGCTAGAGCGTCGGTCTGAAGACTGAAGGGTCCCAGGTTCGATTCCAGTCAAGGGCAGGTACATTGGTTGTGGACACATCCCCAGTAGAGGGTATGCAGGAGGCAGCTGGTCCATGTTTCTCTCTTATCGGTGTTTCTAGCTCTCTATCCCTCTCCCTTCTTCTCTGTAAAAAAATCAATAAAATACATTTTTTTAAAATTTAATAATGGGAGAAAATGGGCAATAAGATCCAACAATAGATTATCTTAGATACTTAGAGTGATTTGTTTAAGGAGATATAATTTCATATGAATGATGTTATAACCAAATGCAAAATAGTATTAATGGACCTTTGGTTAAATTTTTAGATTGTTGAAGTCCTTTACCATAGGGCAAAGGTTATTGAAGCAATTCTGCAGCTGGAAGGAACTTTCGACATTATCCTAAAAGTTAAGAAAATGAGACTTAGAAAAATGAAACAACTTTCCCACAGTCACTCACTGAAGAAAAAGCAGAGCAAGACAAGAACCAGCCTTCTGACTCCAGGGACTTGTCTGAGGCTCAACTGTAGGTCCACTGTACCCCAATTACATGGGACACTGCCTCCCCTACATTTTATAAATAGCACCAGATGTTCTCTCTAGCTATCGGGACTGCCTTTGACTGGCTGAAGAGCTAACCAAGTGAGGCAGGTTCAGTCTCCTGCCTCAGCAGGATTTAGCTGCCCCACTGTGTATATTTAAACATACTGTACTGTTTACACTAACTATCAGAATTTGGAGAAGAGTTGAATCAAATGTAAGTCAAATCCTAGTACTGTAGATTCCAGCAAGTTTGATAGCAAAAAGGTGAACTGGTTGATAAAATTGAATTAATCAGGCTAATTTTAATTTCCTCCTAGGTAATGGCATCTCTGTAAAATAGACACATTTTTACTCTTGACACTCAAAGAGTGACCTTCCCAAGGGCTTACAGCCCTTGTAGGTATAACCTGGGTTTGAATGACTTCTTTAGACTCTATATCTTTCTTGTCTCTTTCAATCCCACCCTAAACTTGTTTTTCTCTCTCTGCTGCCTAACTGGGTGCCGGCCCCATTTCATAGGGTAACATTATAAGAGTTGTCTCAAAGAGAAGTCACTAGTGTATTTCCTAACCTGGCTCTTTAAAAAAAAACTTCTTTTTCAAGTTTTACAGCTCCTCAGCCCTACTTAAAGTGTTTGACCTTCACTCCGATGATAACTTATTTCCAGATGAATCAAAGACATCTGACTACATGACAAAGTACCTGTGCTAAGCCTTGGGGGAAATATTTAGAGAAGCTGTTACTTCCTGCACCTGATTTTCCCCTTAAACAGCAAGCTCGATGCTCTAAAAGAGCAATTTCCTCCTTCACAAACCTATCATTCTTCTTGTCTAAGCCGAATGAAGTTTATTTTCACCTCTTAGTCTTAAATTCCGACAAAAAAAAATGTTAACATTCTGACTGCTATCTAAGATTAACACAAACATTAATTGAAGCAGTGAAAACTGATTTTCCTCAGTAACCTCTGACAATAGGGGAAGGAGCTGAGGCGTGCAAAGGTGACTGCATTTTAAAAGAAGGAGGGAGAGAAGGAAGAGGGGATTCAAGCAGATTCAGGGAAGTAAAACGTTCTAGAAGGCTGGTCAGTGGAAATACGATTGGGCCACCTGTGTCTACCAGCTGACATTATGGAAGTTAGGATTCCATCCTCACAGACAGAGGCCTTATCCTTCCTGACTACATTTCAAAGAAATGATTTTCAGGTCTTTGACAAAGACACTTCGAATTTATAGGGAGAGACATATTCAGAGTGTCCCAACAAAATCTACACATATACTTTGAACAATTATAAAGGCAGTGTTTATTAAAATACATTTCATTTTCAAAATTGAGTTATCAGCTCTTAAAATGTGTAAATCTTTTTTGGGACACCCTATACATCTCAACGGGAAAATGAAGGACTCCCTTATCATCAGTAAATGCCCTAAGAAAGAGAGGTCAGGAATCGCCAGCAGGTGTTGACTAGATTAAACAGTAAATTCTTCTAGTGGCTCTGAGCTTTCTCAGGAAGACATTTTAACACTGGCTGGTGTCATTTAGGAAACACAACCGTAGGTTGCTGTAAGCTATGCTAGAGGTTAGCCATCTTCCCCACAACTGACTTGATTCCAAACAGCTATTAGAAAGCCAGTAGGTGAAAATAAAAAAAATACACAAAAAGCCAACAACTCGTTCATTTCAGTAAGAGCTGTAGCCACCCAGGCAGAGACAGAAATCTTGGTTTGGGGGTTGAAAATAACTTTTTTTTTTTTTTTTAGGAGAAAAAGGTCAGGATGAAGAAAAGCAAAAAGAATATTTCCAAAGAGATAGGACCACAACAAAAAAGATCTAAATGTCAAAGCCAAAACTGATGTTCTGCTGCTCGCTGAAAAAAAATAAAAAGAAGAAAAGGAAAATGAGAAGAGGGCAAATAAGAACAATCTTTTCTTTCCACACATTGTTAGATACTTATGAGAAAACCTCAACGTTTTCTTTACAGATTGGCCAAACACACTTGCCAAAGACATCGGACCAAAAGAGAAAGGCTGCCCACAAGTGAGCAAATTCCAAGGCCTGGGTTCATTCGAGGACCATTTTTTTTGTGGACTGACTATCCTAATATAACAATCCTATCTATTAATAAAAGGGTAATTTGCAAATGACCAAACTACTGAATAGTTGGTTGCTACGACGTGCACTGACCACCAGAGGGCAGACGCTCAGCGCAGGAGCTGCCCCCTGGTGGTCAGCGCGCTCCCACAGCGGGGATCTCCGCTCAGCCACAAGCCAGGCTGAAGGCAGCAGAGGTGGCGGGAGCCTCTTCCGCCTCTGTGGCAGCCCTAAGGTTGTCCGACTGCTAAAGGGCACAGGCTGGGCTGACAGGACCCCCTTCCCCGCCTCCCTTTCTCCCCTAGTGCACGAATGTCTTGCACCGGGCCCCCAGGGGATTAATACGTGAGAGCGTGCACGGTCCAGTGGGAACCTTATGCAAACCATTACCATCCACTTTACAATGGGATGGGTATTATTACCATAAGTCTGAACAGGAGGAGTGCCTCGGAAACTCGGGGCACCTTCCCATCGCAGGTGACATTTCATGGAATTACGGAAAAATGACTAAGGGGACAAGATCTAACGTCCTCGCTAGGGCATTTCAATTCTACACCCAATTTGGCTTAGAAGCCTCTTCTAAATGCTCCCCGCAGCAGTAAACCTCCTTTCTCAACCCCTTTATCAAACCTCGTTAGCTTGCCCATCTCTCCGCTAAAATGAGCATCGACGGACAGTTACGTAATCCGGTGCCGGGTTCCACAGGGAGGGCGGGCGGAATGAATGGCTGGGCTCGTGGACAGGGCTAGCGGACCTTCCCCAAAGCCAGCAGGCCGGGCGCCTGTTGCTATGGGCAGGGATCGCTCTGGCCAAGCCGGTTCTCTCGGAGGAATGAATATGTGAGAGGGCCGTCCGGGAGCCTCGCCCTGCACCCACGAAGCAAGACCGGGCGAGCTCAGGATCCGCCCAGAAAAATCAGGAACCTCGGCGCGGAGGGAACGAGCATCCCGCCAGGCGGTCCTGAACCTAATGACGTTCGTTCTCTTACTTACATTCGTGAGGGAAAGATTTCGATTCGGTCTTTGCCCGACATTCTGACGGTGACTGTCCGGCTCCGGCTCCCGGTCAGGCAGACGTGGTTGCCACAGATCCAGCCACAGCGCCGTCTTCCACCGCAGTCAGGTGGTTGTCTCACTCGACCGCCCGCCCCCCTCGCGTTGCTAGGAGACCGCCGGGATTCGCATTCTTCACTTCCGCTTCCTGTTGGATCCCTGGTGGAGCGGTGAGGGTGGGAGGGCGTGAAGAAGACAAGACCCGGATGTGGAGGCGCGCGCACCGCGAGACTGCCCCTCACTTCCGGCTCGCTTCCCAGCCCCTCCCGCTCCAGTCCCCGGCGGCTGTGCTGAGCTCTCCAAGCTTGAAGCGAAAGAACCGGAGAGAAGAGTACACCCCTCCTCCTTTTCCGCTTATCATCTGTGGTCACAGCGCCACCTCCTGGCTGACCGGAAGCCTTAAGAAAGGATTGATTTCATCAGGGACAAGGAATCGGAGTCCTACCTCCTCCCTGCGCCTTGAAGGCCACTTATCAAAAAGTTAAAGAAAACTGTGAGAAAGCGTCGTCTTCAGGCCCTCCTGTGATCTCCGATCTTCCCTGTTCTCGGAGGACCTGGACTCTATGGTCAGTGGGGAAGAGGGGCCTCCGATCTGTCGGCGCTTGCGCGCTGCGAGGCGGTGCCGCATGCGCGGTGGGACTGAGCGAGGCGCACGCTGGAGAGGATCGGCGGCGGCTGCGGTGGCGGAGCGAGTCTGATCTCCACAGTTCAGGAGCGCGGCCCCGGACCCCACTGTAGGAGTCACCCGTGTACCTCAGGTGACTAGAGCGCCCTGGATCGGTCCCCCCAAGATCTCGCTCTGGTTGTAGCCAGGACCTGGGTGGTCTTGGGAGGGGAGGGTAGGCCCGGGCTCGCACCTCCTGTCCGGGCGCGGGAAGTGTCGGGGCGCCGCCGCCGGCTCCGCTCGGTCTCTCCGCGTTCCCGAGGCGCCTCGGTGGGAGCGCAGGGATCTCGTGGAGAGTGGGTTCGGTGTCCTTAACGTGAGGGCGCTTTGAGGTGGGGCGCCTCGGGAGGATGCAGGGACACCCCGGCCGCAGAACGTCCGAGCACTTCGCTCTTTCCGGGCTTGAGAAGTCCGACCTTTTTGTTTTCGTCCTTTCGGTCCCAGGAAACACCATCTCCCGGTGGAAACCCCTCAGGGGACCGGTGGGATGGGTCACAGTGCTGACAAGAGCTGGGTTCTAAAAGGTCCATGCGTAGTTTATTCACTTGATCGTGTGTGTGTGTGTGTAAGTGTAACAATTGCAGCTCACATGCTGCCTGAAAGCCCGATGTGAACATTGCTGTGGAATGAATCTCACTCCTCGAAACTAAAACGAGCTTCCTGTCGGTGTACCGTATTTCAGCACCGATGAGAACAGGATTATGGAATTACACGCTGTGGTCTTACAGTTCACTAAAAAGGAGAATGTAAAATAAGGGAGTGTTAGGGTTAGATACGTATTCCGCCCGAGAGGGCCCATTTTTATTATTCCCCAAACAAACATAAGGTACTTGAATTTTCATTAAACGAGAAGCATTGTTTCCTGGGGGAAAGGTGTAGCAGAGAAGTCTTGGGTTTTTTTCCTGATGGAAGTTGTTATTTAGGGGGGGAAATTGTGACTCCGTGTGTTTGAAGAGTTTGGGAATTGCTTCTACGCAGCTGTCCTGCCAGTTCATCTGATGCCCGATGATCTCAGAGGTGCACAGCCATGTGTGTGTAGATATTGGTGCTTCTTTTTCCTCCACAGTGAGGTCATTTAGAAGCTTTCTTTCCTGGAGCACTCTAATTAAAGTTACACAAGAGTTGCTTCTGACTCGTGAGACATGTCACCTCGGAAAGGAGTGTGGGCTTCCCGTAGCCATAGTTTAAGAAAGTCCTTCCTGCCGTTTGACCAGGCAAAATTACTGGCAACGTAGAGTATTTGAAATAAGCTGTTAATATATTCCGAGAGATGGATGTTCTTTAACAAAGAACACATATGGTATTCTAGTACTGTGACATATTGAGGTTCTGTGGGTTAAAGACACTACTGAATGTCATAAGACTTGGTTTTAGCTTGTGCTTGTACATAGTACCTAGTAAATAGTGCAAAATGGAAATAGTGTGTTCTTTGCCATTACTCTCTTATAGTTGTACTAGAGGCCTGGTGCATAAAATGTGGTGGGGGCGGGATGTTGTCCCTCAGCCTGGCCTGCCCTCTCTCTCCTCACCGCCCACCTGCTCCCACTCATAGCCAGCGGTGAGCCCAACTTCTGGCTGAGCGGAGAGGAAAGGCACTGACCACCGGGGGGCAGCTCCTGCATTGAGCACCTGACCCCTGGTGGTCAGTGTGCATCATAGTAACTGGTCGTCCGCTGTTCCGTCAATTTGCATATTAGGGTTTTATTATATAGGATAGCACACTATACTTTGAACGTGTTTTTACCTTATTTTATCTCACTTGATAACAGCACAAGTCTGTAAGGTACATGGCCCAGACTAGAAATTACAGTTCAATGGGAATACATTTTCCAAGCAGCCACAGCTAGTAAGATAATGAGGACTGACACCCATATCTACAACTGTTCCCAAAGTGCACTGTGCTACTTGCCTGACTTGAGGGCCAAATAACATCAGTCAAAGGTCTTTGAAAATTAAAGGGTTGATAGATACCTAACTTGTTTTCCTGAATGATCTTTTAAAAGTTGGTGTCATTAGCATAAATAAGGAGATATGTTCGAAATCTGTCAGCCAATATGCAGATTCTCTGTGAAATGCATTCTGTTTGTACTTAACCTGGAATCTCATGAAGGAAAGTGGGACAAGTGACCATACAGCCTCTTCAGTACACTTAAAGGACGCCTTGAGGTGGGGTCCCTCAGGAGTATGCAGTGACACCCCCGCCCCAGGACACTGGACATTTTGCTGTTTCCAGGCTTGAGAATTCCGGCTGTTTTTTTGTTTCATTTTGTTTTGAAACCGTGAATGACATATCATTAGCAGTATTCCTTTATTTACACTATATATTGCAACGACGTGACCTTCCTAAAGCTGTGAAATTTATCTCTCTCTTCAGGATTCTTTTACACTATTGACTTTGTTCTTTAACCATCAAAAGCCTTGCTTCCCCAAAATTGCCAGTTTTATTATTTGAAGAAACTTGATAAGTAATTGTGGTCAGCACATGTTAAAGTTCTTAAAACTATTTCACAAATCTCCATGACATCATTTTATTTTGATACCCAGTTTAAAACTTTCTTAGCTCTCAAATTTTGACAACAGTCCAGTTGTCATTCCCACTACCCTGTGGAGAAAGAAAAAAAAAAAAAAAAAAGCCCTGGTTAAAAATAAAATGACCAACTCAGCTGTTTTCTTGGTGGGTAATTCTGGCCATTGAATATCTGCTTCCCTTTATTTGCTAAATTCCTATTTTGTCAAGCTACAAGAAAATACATCTCTACCATTATTATAAATGTACTACTTTATTTTGTTGTTGTTAAATAGAATAGGTTAGTACTAAAAGTTTTCACTAATCTGTAGTATATGCTTCAGCACTGAAAATGCATATTAATGTTGCTCTTTGTTTCTGATTGTTGTACATTTATCAATAATGTTGAGAGAAAATATTGCCTGATGAATAAGCACAGACTGTGGATCCAAACCTCATAGGTTCAAATTCTGACACTGTCACTTAGTAGTAGTATATGTCAGAACAAGTTGCTTAACCTGTGCTTCAGTTTCTTCATCTGTAAAATAAAGAGAAAGTGGTACCTCAGGAAGATAGGCAGCAGCCAGATCGTATAGGACTATGTAGGTAGTGGGAAGGTGTATGTAAATCAATGATCAATGGGAAGGTACATGTGGGTGCAGTTGAACTGCAGCAGAACTCTTGGTGGCCTATGAGCTGGGTGTGAATACCCTGTCTTTAAGATCAAATAATGGAAGCCTTATTTCCCAATTAATAAGAAAAAACAGCCCTAGCCAGTTTGACTCAGTGGATAGACTATCGGGCTGGGGACTGAAGGGTCCTGAGATCGATTCCAGTCAAGGGCACGTACTGAGGTTGTGGGCTCAATCCCCAGTGGGAGGCATACAGGAGGCAGCCAGTCAATGATTCTCTCACATCATTGATTTTTCTCTCACTCTCCCTCTCTGAAATAAATAAAATATTTTAGGAAGAAAAACAATGTTAATAAATTTTTCATAAATATTTAGGTCCTATTATTACCTGTCTTGTGAGTTTTCACAAGAGTAAACTGGTTAAGGTTAGTCAGAAAAATATGAAAATCATCAATTGGTTAGTTTGAGAGCTTCTGTTTAAAAATATATTTCTACTCATGGTGAGATTTCAGGTTTGTGGTTCATAAAAGGAATGGTGCTGAAAGTAGGTTGGGTGGATCAAAGAAAATAGTTTTAAATACATTTAATGTTTGGGGTTTAAGAGAAACTTGAATTCCATAGTAATGAAGGTCTATAAAGCTATTCTCAAGATTGGGTATACTTATTCAAAAGAGAGTGATGAAACAATTAGAAACTAGAAATTATGATAATTGTGAATTAAATTAATTGTGTTAAGAGGGAAAAATTTGGACAAGAGGGTACATGTTAGTTAAATTTAATATATTTTGTGATTAATAAACCTAATTTTTTTCTGACATGAGATATTGTGATTTCATCTATGATAAATTATAGGGTATATAATTTCACATGTGGTTAGGGTCTAAGAAAATACTTCCCTTTTTAAGAAATGGGTACAGTCTTGGCTGATTTAGAGAAAGAATAGGTTTAGAATTTGCTGGTAGGTTTATTGATGCTTCCCATCATTTATTTTTCTTGAAGTGGTGATAGTAAAATAGTATTTAAGTCTTGAGGTATCTTTATCCTTAGATCTCAGAGTACTTTATAGGTGGTCATTAATTTTTATGATTCCTCTGAAACTAATGGCAGAGAATCACCCAAGCCTTACAAAAATGTGGAACAGCATAAAAATTAAAGCATAGTTCTTAGACAGCATCTGTTTTCTGATACCATTTAAGAAGTTTAAAGAGGTGAGAAAACTAACAACTTCCAGTGGCAAAATGTGGAAAATTGACTCACATTTCTTTATTTTGACCTTAACTGAGCACTTACTTGATTGTTTTGTTTAAATTGCAGAATGCCGGGTCTGAGTTGTAGATTTTATCAACACAAATTTCCTGAAGTGGAAGATGTAGTGATGGTGAATGTAAGGTCCATTGCTGAAATGGGGGCTTACGTCAGCCTGCTGGAGTATAACAATATTGAAGGCATGATTCTTCTTAGTGAATTGTCCAGGAGGCGTATTCGTTCTATAAACAAACTCATCCGAATTGGCAGGAATGAATGTGTGGTTGTCATTAGAGTGGACAAAGAAAAAGGTAAGTGAAAAGAATATCTAAAATACAGGGTGGGGTAAAAGTAGGTTTATGGTTGTGACTATGCGACAGAATTTATACTTGTATTAACTATTGTATTACTTTCCATACAGACAATTACCCCTACATTTGCCCCACTCTGTATAACTTTCAGATTTAAAATGGTTTATTATAAAATACATTTTTTGTAAATTGCCTACTGCAGTAAAAAAAATGAAATACCTCCTTTTACAAATTACTTTACATACAAAGTTGTTAGAGAAAGATGTCAGTTAACCATCTAAGCAAGATCCCTTAAGTTAGTGGTTTAATTAGTACATCCCAAGGCTCATTTTTATGGGTCACATAACTTGAATTTTATTCCCAGAGGAATTTTCCATTTAACATTTTTGGACCATGGCACATAAACAATTTATAAGTTTTAAATTGCACACCATTCTAAAGAGCCTGGTGAAATCTCTAGCCGTCTTGCCCAGGTTATGAATCACCCCTTTGTCCAGCGTATCCATGCTGTGTACACTACCTGCCCATAATTACTTAGTAGCCATCTCAGTTATCAGATTGACTGTCAAAGTATTGCAGAGCTTATATTGAAGTAACCATTATTTTATTTAATAATGGGCCCCAAATATGTATAACTTTCTTTGGATATGCCAAAGAAAAACCATTATATGCATCCTTTAAATGAGGTGCTATATATTTATAGGGAGAAATAGTATATATAGGGTTTGATATCTGCAATTTTAGGCATCCACTGGGGGTCTTGAAATATATTCTCTGTGAATAACGGGGCTATTATATTCTTAAACTTTAACAAGTCTTCATAGCACTGCCCCAGCATTACCTAGAATGGTGTCTTATATTTCTTCCTGCAATCAGAATCAAATTTCCACCTGCAATCAGAAATATATTTTATTATCATATTAGTAGACCTATAAAAATAATTTCCATAGCTGCATTGCTTGTACAGTATTCATTAAAAACAGGAAATAATAAAAATCATGGAGAAATAAATCATGACAAATGATGTGGAAAGATGACCAAGGTAAGATTAAAAAAGGCAACATGCAGATGGTCCTATGAAGGGGATCCATTAAGGATATTACAAGATTAGTTCCTATTGGACAAACATGTAAAAAGAACAGCTGTAAAGCCTGAATAAATATTAAAAACAAAAACAACTACCTAAAGACAATGGTAGCAAAGCAGGCTGGAATTGCAGGAAGAGGGGAATTGCACTGTATAGTTTTGCAGCTTTTTGTCTGAATGCATATCACAGATAGCTTCAACAGCATAGCTAACGTTCTAGTGGAAACCTACAGTCTTAGTGGCTTGAGAACCAGAAGTAACAGTCTGGACAACCACAGCAGATGAAAAATAGTTATAGAGATCAGAGAAAGGAAAGATACAGGGAGAACCCTTAAATTTGTATATAAATTCTGCTTAAATCCTGGCTGACCTCTGAACTACAGGGTGGACTGCAAGCAATCCAATAGGGCAAACTTTAAACAGATTTCAATTGCTTTCCACCTGTGGAGACAGCTTATAGTTCTGAAAACAAACAAATTAACTGTCTGCTAAAACAAAATCAGTATCCTTAAGGGTAACAAAGAAATTCAGAATCTGTCACATCATTCACAATGTTTGGGATACAGTTCAAAATGCCAACCAGGAAAATATGACCCATATAGAAGAGAAAGGGCAATCTCTGAGACTGACCTAAAAATGATCCTTATGTTGGAATTAGCAGATAAGGATTTTAAAGCAGATATTATAACTGCTCAAGGACATTAGGATAATATGCTTTTAATTAAGAAAATGCAATCTCTATAGAAATTAGAAACTCTCACACAAAAACTAAACCCTACAAATCAAAAGTGTAATATTTAAAAAACTAACTGGGTGGGCTAACAGATTAAAGATAGCAGAAGGCTCTTGAAGATAGTAAAACTTGAAGATAGTTCATTTAAAAAGAACCAGGCTGAAGAACAGAGGGAGGGAAAGGTCAGATATCAAATGCTCCATTTCAAAAGAAGAGAGAAAATACAGAAAATATATTTTTAGAAATCATGGCCAAATGTTTCCCATATTTGCTAGAAAAATATAAACTTATAAATTGGAGAGGTTGAACAAACCTCAAAGAAATACTAATAAAATTGTATCTAAGCAGATCGGACTATTGAAAAACTGATAAATTGAAAATAGCCAAGGCACATTATTTACAAAGGAGCAGTAATATAAATTACTATGGCATCCTTATTGGAAGTAATGGAGGTCAGTGCATTGAATGACATCTTTAAAGTAGTAAAAGAAAAAAAACTGTCAATCTAAAGAAAATAATTTAACAGTGAAAATCAAAATGAGACCTTGTCAGGTAAATAGAAATTAAGAGAATTTATTACCAAATATACCTGCATTATAAGAAATAGTAAAGGAGTTAATTCAGACTTTGCAAAGAGATGTGGTGCCTAAAGTAAGAAATATGTAGTTAAATTTTAAAGATCTTTTTTCCCCTCCTAATTTTTTTAGAATACATTTAACTGCTCATCTCTATTTGAACTGGTAGGATTTTAATTTATGGAGGTGACTGTTGATATAGAGAGGCCAATGCCATTGAAAGAAAAATTTTATTAAGTTTCCCAGAAGATGGGGACATACGTGTGCTATGCAGAGCCACATGGGGAAGCACCAGATTTGTTCAGGAGGCAGAAGGAGCAAGGGGAAAGCCAGTGCCTTTATTAAGATTCCATAGGCAGGTCAGAGTAAACAGTTTAGAATTGGCTAGTTTGAATAGTTCTGGCTTTGGGTTGATTTAGGGCAGAGGGAATATTGGCTTTGTGTGTAAGACTTTGATGAGGAAATGGTTAGAGATAATGGGCTCGAGATTAGTTAGTTGGCATGTGAAAGGCGGCTCCAGGTGAGTCTTTGCTATCTCTAAGAATTGGCTAGTCCTAGGAAGGGCTTCTCTTCCTACCCAGTCAGCCAGGCCATCAATGTCAGAGCACCATGCAGACCTCTGGCACTCAGATCAACAGGGGAGCCTCAGGGTCTCCCCCCACGTACTCTTTTGTTCACATTCGTGTACTGGGAGAAGGTGTGTCCCTCAGCCCAGCCTGCTCCCTCTCCAATCTGAGACCCCTGGGGGATGTCCACATAGGGATCGGGCCTAAACCAGCAGTCGGACATCCCTATCACAATCCGGGACTGCTGGCTCCTAACCTCTTGCCTGCCTGCCAGCCTGATCACCCCTAACCACTTCCTTGCCAGCCTGATTGACACCTGACTGCCCCCCTGCTGGCCTGATTGCCCTCAATTGCCTTCCCTTGCAGGCCTGGTCACCCCTGATTGCTCTCCCCTGCCAGCCTGGTCACCCCTAACTGCCCTCCCCTGCTAGTCTGGTTGCCTACAAGTACCCTCCCCTGCTGGCCATCTTTGACCACATGGGGGCAGCATCTTGTGTGAGGGCATGAAGGTCAATTTGCATATTACCTCTTTATTATATAGGATGCTTGTGACAGCTCAAAACATGGAACTTAAGTTTTCCTAATGGAGATGAAATATCCAGCTCTTCTTTCCATTGTCTATGTCAGTATCTCTCATCCACAGGCCCCATCTAGAACAGGGTTCTTCTCTTAGCATATTTGCTGGTGTAGCTGTAGATCTATTTCCTGGGCAAACCTCATCCAGTATAACAAGCTGAGGGCTTGCAATCTATAATTTTATACAATCTGAAATTTCAGAACCCCTCCAGTATAGTGGACTTTAGATTTCTCTGATCAAATTACTAATGCCAGATTGTAGGGGAGAGAATACAGAAAAATGGAGAATCTTTTGACTAGCTTTAATTTGGCAATTGAAAATTATTCCTTCCATTGAGGTAATAGAGAATATACAATTATATGATAATCTAAATGCATTTCTGAAAACAAAATTTATCAGGATTTTAGTGGGGAGTAAGTATAGGTATACCAACCAAACAGCTGGTTGTGGTATGCTGGCATCTGGACAGAGATAATTATTTTCAAATTTTTTTTTTATGCAGGTTACATTGATTTGTCGAAAAGAAGAGTTTCTCCAGAAGAAGCAATCAAATGTGAAGATAAATTCACCAAATCTAAAACTGTAAGTTAATTTTTTTAGTGAAATTAATCCACTATTTTATGTACTTAATAATCAGTAAGTCCTGTTCCTGGCAAAAATAAAAAACAAAACCTACATTTTCTGTAACTATATTTTCATTTCCAGTTGTGTTACATAGAAACATGACTTAAAGATTTAATTTCAAAAGAGTATGACTGTAGTGTTTTTATCTCATGGTGTTACTATCTCAATGTATGATCTAATATTCTCAAAACAGTACTGAATGTTTTTAAGCGACTTTAGGAATAAATTAACTGGGTGATTTCTTTTTATTTGGTTTGTCATAACATGTAGTTGACTTTGGTCCCTATTCTGGAATAAGGGTCACAGAGACAACTGTTCTATGTTAAGAATGAGTAAGGGTTTGTAAAATGTTTGTGAATCTAAGAAAGCAAGGCAGAAGCCTATTAGTAGGTGGGGTTTTTCCCTAGTTGAGGTTATTACTTTTTTCTTTTTTTGCTATAATTTCCTACTTCCCCACAATAAACATAAATAAAGCAAAAATAGCCATTTTTGCATTCATCTTCTTTCTGAGTTCTGTTTTCTGATCCTATTTAGATTGTCCTTCATTCCCTAGATCCTCAGTTCTTGATGACACTGTTTCCATTGTTTCTTTTTTGTTTGACCTTTTCTTTTTTTTCTTATAATTTGTAATTTTATTGATTTCAGAGAGGAAGGGAGAGGGAAACAGATAGAAACTTCAATGATGAGAGAGAATTGTTGATCAGCTGCCTCCTGCACATCTCTTACTGGGGATTGAGCTCACAACCCAGACATATGTCCTGATTGGGAATCAAACTGTGACACCCTGGTTCATAGGTTGATGCTCAACCACTGAGCCACACCAGCGGGGCATGTTTGCCCTTTTCTTGTGTCTTTTTTTCTCCTCTGCCGCTTGTCTTTCTGCCAAGAAAACCATGTTAAATGAGAAGATTTTTGAAATCTTGTTTGACTAGTAAAACAGAATAAAAATCTAAAAGCCATCAGACCATTACCCAATCTTTCCCTTTGCTTTACTGATGTGTTCATTATTACTGCAGTCTGGTTTACACATTCAAAAGTGCTATCACTAAAATCCCTTTTTAATGAACTCTAGATCCTTGCCACTCAGAGTAGTCTGTGGACCAACAGCATTGGCATTGCCTGACTGCTTATTAGAAATGCAGGATCTCAAGTCCCAACAAGTTTGAGAATTCACATTTGAGAAGCACTGCTCTAGAGAACTTTCATTTTATTTTGTCACCTGTGTAAAATGACTGTTAGTGGGTCTTATCAGGATGATAAGATGATAGAAGAAATAGCCATGATAGTGCCTTTGCCTTTTCTATACTCTTTCCTTTAAGCCTTTTAATTTAGAAAAGGATTTAGATTAGAAAAAGTTTGGCAGCAGTGGGTAAGATTGAAGGATAACTGTTAAATGATAACAGCAAAAGAAATACTGAAATCTCAATCCTGTTTCCATGATCTCATGTGGAGTGGTAGTAATAATACCATGTTCCCCCGAAAATAAGACATCCTCCAAAAATAAGACCTAGTGCAACTTTAGGAGAAAAAATTAATATAAAACACTCTTATTTTCGGGGAAACAGGGTAGCTTACATTTGTTTAACAGGATTTGTGTAATATACAAATTTTATACATTTGTATTATGTTTTTCATTTGTAGTATTGCATTTGTATTTGTTTGATCTATGTAAGGGCTCTGCAGTAAAAAGGAGAGAAGGAAACAAATTCAGAGGTTAATTAGAGTCAAGATGTAATCTAAGTTTTAGGGCGCTAAATTCTATTCTACTTTTTGTACCTATTTGAGTTTATTCTCTATGGAAAAGAATTTGTTGTATGGCAATCCTTTGTTAAGAAATTATTGTAATCACTTTAACCAAAGGTTTGTTTTTATATGCTATCTAGCAAAGTGTAAAAATAACTTTTTTTTTTAATAGATCTCTTACACTTCAAATTGTTGAGCCCTTCATTTTGTTTCTAGGTTTACAGCATTCTTCGCCATGTTGCTGAGGTGTTAGAGTACACCAAGGATGAACAACTGGAAAGCCTGTTCCAGAGGACTGCTTGGGTCTTTGATGACAAGTACAAGAGACCCGGATATGGTGCCTATGATGCATTTAAGCATGCAGTCTCGTAAGAACATCTTTTTGATTCTGCTTCTACCTTGATATCACAGCTGCTGGGTCTGGCATGCAAAATGAGAGCTTGACATGTAATAGTAAAAATTTACATTAAAATGTTTCAGTATAAAAGGCCCATCGTATGAGCCAGTCCTGTATAGCCAAACCTATATCTTTTTTTTTTTTTTTTTTTTTTTGAGAGAAAAACGTCAATTTGTTTCACTTACTTAAGCATTCATTAGTTGCTTTTTGTATGTGCCCTGACTGAGGATCGAACCTACAACCTTGGCATATTGGGATGACATTCTGACCAACTGAGCTACCCAGCCAGGACTTAAAATTTCTTATGTCAATTATATAGTTTTATAAACCATATGCTTTCATCTCTTGCTACTCCCTTCCCATTTCCTTCTCTTGGTTTTTTTATTGTCCTAAGTAACTTCAGGGCCAGTGTAAATGTCTCATCTAAAACTATAACCTCTTGTTTTCTTTTCTTCACAACTCCTTCAGCCTGTGCCATTTTAGCCAGTCTTCCATATGGTTTCGCTCTATACCTACTATCACCAGGATTTGTTCTGCCTCTAGAACTCTTAATTCACACGTTCTACATTTTTGCACAGCCCCTGTCCTTCCAGCTCCCACATAGTTAGTCCTACTCTGTTTCTTCTTAATTCTTGTCAGGCTCTGATTCCAAACCTTTTTTCTCTCTGTCTTTTCACTCCTTCAGCCTAGCTATACCATGGTTCATCATTTCAAAAACTTTGTTGCAAATATCATGAGCTTTTGCCCTGTTTTTCCTTCTTGTTACATCTAGTCTTGAATCGATGTTCCTGCCTTCTCTGCACTTACAGACTGCTAGATGCTGGTACAGGTTGGTGCCCCTGTATGTTCATGGTATCAACCTCAGCTGGGCCTACACTGCTGCCCCACATTCTCTGTGCTCCTGGGTAGCTCTTCCTCTCATTCTTCGAGTTGGTATTTTAGAGCTTCCTCAGATACCCACTCCATCCTTCTTCCCTCACTCTCACCTGGTGCTCTCACTACCTATTTTATAAAGAAAATAGAAGCCATCGCATAGGTTCTCTGTTTGCTTACACTATCTCAGCAAACTTATCTTCATCCCACCTGCATTATTCCTTCCTGAGCTTTTGTCACACTGGAATTCCTATCCTTCCTTCTCAAACTAATCTTACCCCCTGTGCCCAGCTACTGCTCAGGGACCTTTTTCCATCTGTTATTCCATCTCTTGAGTCCTCAGTCTTTCCCTTAATTGTTTTTGCTCCAGCAGCATAAAAATATGTTCTGCTTTCTCCCATTTACACTAAGAAACCAAATTCTGTCTATTATACTTTATCCTGAGCAAGCACTGTGTCCTCTCCTTTTAACAGCCAGACTCCAGTTCTGTCAAAATCTGCACCTCCCTCTCTTCCCTAAATGTTAGTGCTCCACAAGCAGCCTCTCTGCGCTGAGGTTCTTTTCCTAACTTTCGTGCTGCCAAGAGGCAATGAATGGTCCTCTCAGCCTCAGGATGGCTGAGTGGGGCTGACACTGTTAGAGCCTGTGGCAAGCTGACCCACTTATTGGAAGTAGTTCCTTTCTCTTCTGATTTCTAGGGATGTGGTTTTAGTTTTAGAATTTTTTCCATGTTTTTGTTCTTTTCCAGTTAGATTGTAAGCTTTTGAAGCAAAGAATGCTAACTACACAGAAGTGCTTAAGTATAGTGGGGTGCCAGGGAGACATTTTAAATTGCTTGCTTTAGTCTGATCTCTACAATTTTTCTCTTAATGATGATCAATTGAATGTTTTCTATTTGTCATATACTGCTAAATGCTGCATTGTTCATTTAATACCACAATCCAGTGAGATGAACTTTTTGTCCTCATTTTACACTTTTGGAAACTGAGGTATGGAAAGGCCAAAGAAACATAGTTATCTAACAACAAAGCTAAGATTTGAACTCTAATTCTAACACTAAAGTCTATGCTTTTATACATTATTCTGTGGTATTGTTATTGCAAATATTAGTAAAGTAACCTTGACCTTTTGTTGGTTTTTTTGGTTTTTTTTAATCAGAGACCCATCTATTTTGGATAGTTTAGATTTGAATGAAGATGAACGGGAAGTACTCATTAACAATATTAATAGGCGTTTGACCCCACAGGCTGTCAAAATTCGAGCAGGTAAATGATTTTTTAAATGATGTTAAAAGGTTATGCATGTGTCAAAAAAGTTGTCAATGAGCCTTCTGAAGAATATGCTACTATATCAACATCTGTACATTTTTCTAAATGTGTTTTTCATATCAAAATTTAAGAACTTAAATATTTGCTGAATCATAGATAGATAGGCGTACAAGTTAACTTTAAGTTATTCCCCCCCTTTTTTTTTAAGGGTCTGGTTATTTTATTTTAGTGTATACTTTAAAATAATGTAACAGTACAAATATCCTCCCATGTCTCTGGATTAACCACTGTGAATAGTTTGAAATGTATTCTTTCAGACGTTTTTTCCTGTACTCATAAGCTGTATAGGAATATTAATATATGCTGTTTACATTCAGATAGGACTTTTTTAAATTATTCCAAAGATGAGGTCATACCATGCAAAGTTTTCTCCAACTAATTTTTCTCACTTGGTGTATCATGGTTGACCTTCCATGTAGAGCATAGGAATCTTTTTCGTTCTTTTCCATGGCTAGGTAATAGTCTATAGAGTGGTTGACTTAACCAGTCCCTTCTTAAAGAACATTTAGGTTGTGCCAATTTTTTTATTAGACAAAACACTATAAATTTAACATTCTTATACATACATACTTACCTATTTGTATAAGCATTCTGTAAGGCAGATTCCTAAAAGTAGAATTGCTGAGTCAAAGTGTATACAATTTCTAAATTGTTTTCAACAGTTTGCAATTATTTCATTCAGTATTAAAACACTTCTGTTTTACAAATAAGAAACTGAGGTACAGAGAAGTTGGAATTGTGGTTTTTAACCCAAGCATAGCCAGAATTCAAAGAGTTTGTTAAATGTGCCTGTCTTATAGTTTCATCATTCAAGGTCTTGATGTGGATGATAGGATATAATTTCAGGTAGTTTTAATTATGAAAGTTAGTAGCTGGGATTGGTTTCTAATTGAAAGGATGATGAAAGCTTTCACAAGTGTTTGAATACTTATGTATCTGATTTCTTTTATGCCTCTCAATATTTTTTGCATTTATTTGATATGTTTTTGAATTTTGGAATTTTAGATATCGAAGTGGCTTGTTACGGTTATGAAGGCATTGACGCCGTAAAAGAAGCCCTGCGAGCAGGTTTGAATTGTTCTACGGAAACCATGCCCATCAAGGTGAGCAGTCAGTGTTCTCCCTCCCTGCTGAAATGTCCACCTGAGCCAAATCAGATTTTTTCATGATCATGCTTCTTATCAAGTGTTATGAAAAGTGATTCTTGGTGATATTTCCAGGGGATATTTAAGATTGTGTATAGGCTTTTTGTTGTAGCTACTGTTACTGTCACGGTGGATAGAGATTCCTATTGGTATTTAGTGCAGAGGGCTCCTTTACAATAAAACGTTATGCCCTGGCTGAAGTGGCTCAGTTGTTTGAGCATCATCTCTTGCACCAAGAGGTCATTGGTTCAATTCCCTGTCAGGGCACATGCCCAGGTTTGAAGGTTCAATCCCCAGTAGTGAGTGTGCAGGAGGCAGCAGCCAATTGATGATTCTCTCCCCCTTTTTCTCTCTAATATCAATAAAAACTTTTTTTAAGTTGTACCCATAATGCTCATAGAATCTTGAAAAGGACAACATATTCTCATTCACACACAATTTTTAGGAGGTTTGCTATGAATCTTTTGTTAGCAATAAAATTAACTGAATGGTTGTTATTTAGAATCTCTTTGGAGAATTTCTTCTGTTTAGTTTGGAACCAAATTGGAATTTTTGTTTGTTTTAGAGACAAATTATCTATTATGCTGACAATGGCTCTAATTAGTTTAACCTCCAAAGACACCCAGAAATTGTCATTTGTTGTATTCAGTATTGCAAATTTGATTAAATCACTGTATCAATTAGCTTTTGCTACCTTAACAGGCTATCCCAAATTGCTAGGTATAAAATTGGTGGCTACTTTTTGAGAATTAAGATTTGTTAAGGCAGCAGATTGGTGAAACAGTTCTCGAACATCCTGATAGTTGTGTGTTCTATAGGTATACTCACAGGTGAATTTTTATCTCCTTAGATCAATCTCATAGCTCCTCCACGGTATGTAATGACTACAACCACCCTGGAGAGGACAGAAGGCCTCTCTGTTCTCAATCAGGCTATGGCTGTTATAAAAGAAAAGATTGAGGAGAAGAGGGGTGTCTTCAATGTTCAGATGGAGGTAAGATTAAGAGGGGTTTTGCCTTGTTTAAAGGTTTTAATAAATTTAAAAGCATCTAAATGATTTGCATTTTAAAATCTAAAAAAAAAAATAAGTACATTTAGGATTACAACTCTGCTAAGCATAAAATAATTATTGACTCGAAGGATTCCTAAAAAAGCTTTTTATAAGTAGATTAGAGGCTCTGCACGAAATTCGTGCATGGGCGGAGGGGGTCCCTCAGCCTGCCTGCATCCTCTCCAATCTAGGACGCCTCGGAGAAGTTTCTTTTACAATCCAGGACCACTAGCTCCTAGCTGCTCGCCTGCCTGATCGCCCCTAACCACTCTGCCTGTCTGCCTACGTGATTGTCCTTAACCACCTCTGCCTGCCATCCTGGTCGCCTCTAACTGCCTCTGGCCATCATGGCTTTGTCTGGAAGATATCCCGTCTAATTAGCATGTTACCCTCTTATTAGTATAGATAAGAAGTATCATGAGATTTTTATTGAGAACTATGGTCACTGGTGGTGTTAGGTGTCCTGTCGTTGCCTGCCCAGCCAAGGGAAAAAAATAGATGATGAAATTAGTGGTTGATTATTGTCAGAATTTAATGTAAAATACTTAAATTTGATCTCAGAATTAGAAATAAGTGTAATTGCCTTTATTTCCCTCATCTCAACAAGAATAAAACCTAAATTTCATACGTATATTTAAAATATTTAACACATTATAGATACACACATGATAATAAGTCTTCTCTGCAAAAAAAAAAAAATAGTAAATTTATTTTGAACCTAGAAAGTGCATTTTTATAGGATGTCTTTTGGGTTTGAAAAATATAGCCACTGATATTATTTTCATATATTTTCAGTTTTAGCTTGTAAAAATAACAGAAAATAGTACTTTGTTTTAATACACATGTATTTCTTTTTTCTGTACTGTTTTATTCTCCTAAGTTTTTTCCATTATTGAGCTAATGGAATTTATTAGTGATATGTCAGCACTCAGAAATTAATAGATACAGCATCAGAGTTGTTATGTCTTCAAGAGTTAAAATACTAGGCATTGATAATATTGAAATTCAATTTTGTGTACTATTTGACTACATTTTGAAATTATGCTTCTGCTTCCACAGCCCAAAGTGGTCACAGATACAGATGAAACTGAACTTGCAAGGCAGCTGGAGAGGCTTGAGAGAGAAAATGCAGAAGTGGATGGAGATGATGATGCAGAAGAAATGGAAGCCAAAGCTGAAGATTAACTTTTGGGAAACAGAGTCCAGTTTAAGGAACACAAAACAACCCTTCCTGGCTATAAATCCTAGACTTAAAAGTTTTCCAGTATTGAAAACTTCACAGCTGAATATTTTTTATTTACAAGTATTTAAATGTTGTAACAGACCAAAACGTGAAATGTCCTAAAATGTCGGCTATTTTCACACAGTAGCTCCAACACATTGAGCATTTTTTAAGGGAGTGGCCCAGTTTCACTAAAGACAAATCTCTAAGCTAAGAACAGTCAAAATTGGGCTTTCCATTTCTGATGTCTCTAGATTGACACCTGTTTGTAGTTCAGTGCCTCTGTATAATTTATCAGGGGTACTCAAAGCAAATGGTCCCAACCTTTCTATATAAATGTATCAAGCAAACATTAAATAAATTTCTGGGATATTTAACTATAGGTTTCTTCCTTCTTGTCACCAGTTAAAAGCATTACGATTACTAAGACCCTAATTCTATTCATTTTAGTCTAGATGTATAAATATAAGGGCAGGTGTTCAAAGGATCTGTACAACATCCTTTCAAAAGGAGGGCTTAGAGAAAATAATTTTTATCACAGTGAAAGTAATTCTTAAGGGGGAAAGCCTTAAAATGCAATTAAAGGATTACATTGGTTGTGTGCCTTTTATGTCTATGAGACTGATGAAATATATGTGGGAGAATTTCACACTGGTCCTAGTTGGTGTACTAAGCTGCTTGCCTGAGTTTGTAATTCAAAGTGGTATGGTTGGTTTTATTTTGTTTTTAAGGTGCTGCTGCTTTAATTTATTTTGATTCTCATCGCCCAACTTGAGATTTTTCCCCCCTATTAAAATATTCACTAGGTGCCATCTAGAGAGCATCAGTTTTCTTTATAACAGAATAGGGGTCTGAACACAATTACTATGATTTTTCAACATTTCCATCATTTTTATCTTAGGAACTAATTATTTTAAAGGCATATAAATTTAAAGGTAAATAAATTCATTCATAGAAAACACGTGATTTGAAGTTACAGCTACAATAACCAAGGTGTAGAAAGTCTTGAGTTACTTTAGTCTTTGTAGATTTAATCTTAGTATGCTTGAGGTACTAGATATATTAATTTTATTAAATTATTCTGACAAATAGCTGTTTAAATACTTAAAAAATGAAACCATATCCTCCATCAATCCAGGACTAGATTAAGTATTTTTAAAAAGGGACTGGAAAAATAGTGTTGCTGAGACAGTTTGTGCCATATGTGAAGATTGTCCCAATCCAGAAGCCTGACTTCATGTAGCCATCTCTACAAAGGAACCATGGTTGCTAGCCAGCATACCATACTGGGAATATTTAGAGGAAAATCAGGATATATTCAAAATTGGCTCATAATTTTCAGTGTGGTCTTTTTGAGGAGTCAAAACGAGTCTGTAAAGCTCATAGCAGATGTCATCAAATATAACAGGTGCTCCTTAAACGTTTGCTATTACAGGAATTGAATTTTTGTTTATTCAATATTTTTATATTTCAAACGCTATAACAAGAAATGCTGGTAATGTTCTTGGTGAGTGAATTTATCCATTAAATTATCGGGCCTTTTGTTCAGTTCCACAACAGTTGCAAGTTTATGATGATTGCCAGAGAAAAGATTGATACCGCATGATAGAACTAACTATAAACTTAAAGCACACATATTCCTTGCTGACCTAAAAGTATCACTTTTAAAGGACAAGAGAACACACCCAGCTCCAGATAACTGAAGGAACAGATTGACAAAGACAAGTGACCAGTTTATCCAAATCTTGGACCTCCCCCAAAAAAACTCATTAAAAGTGGACAACTTCATCTACTTCTCATTCTGCCTTGGATGATGTCAAGTGGTTATCAACTCAAAACAACCTTAGCAATAGCTTGGTTCTTAATGCATAATTAATTGAGAACGGCTTACAAAAAGTGAACCTTTAAACAATTTTTTATCTTTTATACCAAAACAAGACAAACCAATACTTTGGATAATTCTAAGTGAGAACCTACAGACATGCTAAGCAAGCACTATATTATCCTTAGCAATACAATTATTACTCAGCTGCCAGACAAACATTCTCGATTTAACTACTTTTACATCAAAAACAGTTGAATTCAAATGGTTCGGATTTTAAAAATTAAAATACTAGTATCTTGATGAGAATTGTTCCCTGGTTTGCCTCAAGGTCATCTACTGTAAATGGGTGAGGACTCTGTCCTACACAGTCTTGTACAGTTGTGCCAGTTCAGAGAAGAAGCCATCAAGCCAAATACAGTCAAATTCAGATGAACGCCTGTTGATATCCCAAAAGTAATAAACTAATTCCAGGGACATTAAACCTGGTAAAATGCCAAACAGAAAACGGTGCTCTAAAAAGGCATCTTTTTACAATGTAAGGAATTAAGTAAAACCTCATTTGCTTGGAATTTTGATCACTCAGGTCAAGTATTCTAGTTGAAATTAAGAGAACAGTTCAAACTAAGGACAAATTTGAATTTCGGAAGAATCTAGTACCCTTAAATGCCAGTTACATACCTATTCATTTAAGGGAGTCTTGTACTAAGCAAGAATGCTGGCAGTATCTTGTGCCAGTTACTGTATGAACTTGCAAGCAATAAAAATGTTTTTCTTAAATAATTGTATGATACAGACTTCACTACTGCAGGTTAACCTTCCAACTGGGGAAGCTTCTTGGTACCTATTTGTCTCAATGTTCACTTAGAAAAACAAATTTCATGCCTTGATTTAACCCCTTTCCTATTCATAGCTTTCTCTTTCCTTTAGAGAGCTCTGTTCTGCTTTCCAAATTACATTTTCCACAGTAAAACTATAATTTTACCTTTTTTTTTTTTTTTTTTTAGTATGTGTGACTAATCCCTTCAACTGAGTCCGTGATTTTTCTGTGACATGTAATGCTTAATGCAAGCTTATTTTTCAAAGGAAAACAATATTCTTTGAATGTTCAAGCAAAATTCACCCACTTTGAGATGAAGCATGTCTTAGTCACAGAGATCACGAGGTGTCTTTATAATCGCCTCGCTCACTTCGTATAGTCTCAAGCATGAAAAACCTTTGAAAACTGAAACTTTGGAAGGGAATCCTAATAGCCAGAAACAAGTGTCAATTTTTATTAATCCTAAAGAAGGAGTTAATAGCTGTTGGCAGCATTTCAGAGACAGTGCTGTGAGACTAGCGTTTTATTTAGTAGTATACTGTGGCCAGTTAGTGTTATAAGGCAAATCTACTTTGGTGACTGAGGAATGGCCGGCTGTGATGATTGGCGAAAAGTCAACATCCTGACGCCTAATGGCTGTTCTAGCATTTCCAGGTGGTTAACATGAAGGTGGGGAAGGAAACAGCACCATTGCCCATTGTAATCTAGGAAACTCTTCAGTAGACAAAGTACAAAATAAAGTTGCATTAACACTCATTTTCTGGGAAACCCTGTCAGTGTCACCAGGTAGGTGGGAGGAATCCTGGTCCTGGTCTCTCAGGTAATCCTGGTCCGTCACGTGAGCTTTTTGATGGCTTCGATCCACTCGGCTCGCTCAGCTTTGCTGCTGGCCTGGATGTAATAGTGTGTGTCTTCCTTAGTAATCACTTTGAAGAGATTTCCCTGGACATTCCCTTTAACACCTAGGCAGAAAAAAAATCAGTGAGGAAATACCCAGTCTGTTTTCAGCTGGAAGCAGCTGAAAATCAACTAAGATACAAACACAAATAATGAAGTATTTATTAAGTACAAATTACATGGTTAGGGACTCCCACCAGATGTGTGGTGCTTTCTTTTCCTCCTCCCATCCCCCCATTTGGCCTGTGCCACAAGGTCTGCCAGTGGTATGTCTAGACATTTGTTTTAAATATTTTAATTTCAGAGAGAGAGAAATATCAATTAAAAGAGAGAATCATTGGTTGGCTGCTTCCTGCATGCACCCCACTAGGGACTGAGCCCAAAACTGGGGCACAGGTCGATGCTCAATCACTGAGCCACTCTGGCCAAGCTGTTTGGACATTCTTGGAAGCCTTCATGGTCTGCCACCTATGCTAACCCTAGATCTACAATGTCATTCACATAAAAGAATCTAGTATCCTACATAATAAAGAAGTAAAATGCAAATTGACCTTCACACTCTTGTGTCACAAGATGGTTGCCCCCACGTTGTCACAAGATGGCCACCCCATTGTCATAAGATAGCCAGCAGGGGAGGGCAATTGCGGATGACCAGGCCTGTAGGGGAGGGCATCTGGGGGTGATCAGGCTGCCAGGGGAGCAGTTAGGGGCAATCAGGCAGCCAGGCAGGCCAGTGGTTAGAAGTCAGCAGTCCCAGATTGTGAGGGGAAGGTCTGACTGCCAGTTTAGGCCTAAAGTGGGATCAGGCCTAAACCGGCAGTTGGACATCCCCCAAAGGGTCCCAGATTAGAGAGGGTGCAGGCTGGGCTGAGGGACATCCTCCCCCACCAGTGCACAAATTCTGTGCACCAGGCCTCTAAATCTGTATCTTCTCATACAAAAAGAAGATACAGATTTAGGATTTAACTTTAAACTGTTTAACTTCTTTGAACCTCAATTTCCACATCCATAAAATGGGAATGATACTATCTTCCTAGCTAGTTAGTATGACAATAGATATTAAAGTATGTCCCTAACCCTTAAACACTGTGTAAGCTAATATTATTCTTAGGTGGAAGCTTAGGTGGACCAGTAAACACAGAAACTGAGGGGAAAGTATTGAAAAACAAGGATTATATAGCTGTATTGTTAAAACACTAAGAACACGTGCCCTTTTCTCTAACTCTGAAACTGGCTTCAAAACTCACACCATTCATGGTCTCATTGAGAAAGCCCTACTCAGCTCCCAGAGCTCAGTCCTTCGACAGCAGAGCATCATTGAGAATGCAGGAGGGAGGCCCTTGAGCTCTCAGGCAGGGGCCAAGGTTAGACCTTACCCGTGGGAACGCCATTGTCCTCCAGAGCAGACACGAGTGAGCCACGAAGGGAAAACCCACCCACTGGCCGGTTCTCTTCCTGCAGAGGGAAGGAGACCTGTTAAGAATTGCGTGAACGGACATAAGAGAAGAGCTGCACTCTCGCCTATAACACCCTCAGTGGTGCCAGCCAGAGAAGTCGGCGAGAGTCATGTGTAACGAGGATGAGGCAGAACTTGGCCTTCTTGCAGCCAATCTACAAGCACCAGTGAGGAGTTTGGACTCTTCATTCACACCAGCCACAGGAGGGCCACAGCCCTCCCTGACCCTCCACTCCCGCTGCGGTCTGTCAGGACCCCAGGCCCCCTGCACGCTCCTTCACATCCTGACAAGCTCTGTGAGGGAGGAACTGCCCAGGCGTCACTCTTTCAAAAAAGTGAGTGAGTGAAATTCCTACATCTTCCAAAGTCAAGGCTGAACAGGCCATCTGAAAAGCTCTTTTTCTTCTATTTTGACTGAAATTAGATACACTCGGCATGCAATAATACTCTTATCTGAAACTCAGAACAGCAATTCTTCGATCAATTAGAAAAAAATAAAATTAGTAAATTATGGCTTAAATATTAAGTAGTAAAAGAAAGTGTGCAAAACGTTGGTGCAGACAAGAGGTTGAGGGAACAGAATCCCTGGGATCTGGGGAGGGAACGGGGTGAAGAGCTTGGAAGCACCAGGTCGGCCCCTGCCAGCCCCTCCCCCTCCGCAGCCACAGGGCAGGCTTTGGAGAGACGGAAAGATGCGTTTCCTCACAAAATAAGGAAGATCCCCGGGGCAGGCAAGGACACGATGTAATTGGAGAGCAATCCTCCCCTTTAAGAGTGGCGGGAGGTGGAAGGAGAGGCATAGTGGGCAGAGGTTATGGCAGGGATGCTGAGGTAAGGAAGGGTGTGGAGCCAGCTGCCTGCGATGCCTGGGAGAGAAGGATCCGGAAGCCTCCCGCAGGGACCCATGGCACGCGGCACTCACCTTGGCAGGGTCGTAGTAATGCAGGAAAGCCGGATCCTTCCTCAGAACAAAGCGCCGCACCTTCCAGTTTTTCCTCTTGTGGCCCTGCGGGAAAGGGAGGGTCAGGCCCTAACTGGTTTGGCTCAGTGGATAGAGGATTGGCCTGTGGACTGAAAGGTGATTCCATTCAAGGGCATGTACCTTGGTTGCGGGCACATCCCCAGTAGGGGGTGTGCAGGAGGCAACTGATTGATGTTTCTCTCTCATCAATGTTTCTAACTCTCTATTCTTCTCCCTTCCTCTCTGTAAAAAAGCAATAATAGAAAAGAAAAGAAAAGAAAAGAAAAGAAAAGAAAAGAAAAGAAAAGAAAAGAAAAGAAAAGAAAAGAAAAGAAAAGAAAAGAAAAGAAAAGGGTCAGGCTCCTGGGGACAGCTCTTCCCTCCTCCCTCCCACTTCCTTGTATCGAATGCCAAGCCTCCAAGCCAGCTGGCTCTGTGGGACTACTTTCTAAGAAGAGCCTGCCAGAGCCCCAAGGATGGCAGTGATGTGTCACGGACTTCCCTACTCAGTGGCACTCAGCAAAAACACTGTCGCCTTTAGCTGAGTTGACAGAGCCGAAGAGGGTCAGCGCTGAAGGAAGGGGGACATTCCCCGGACACCACGCAGGACACCAGGAGGGCAGGGAGGCAGCAGGGGCCAACTGGACTGAGGGCTCACAGGCGAAGTTGAACCCAAGGGCATTAAGTCAGGTGTCAACTTGTTCCCCAAACAAACCTACAGCTGCACGTACACCTGTGCACACATGGACAGTAAAAACCACTTTACCATTCTGCATCAGAAAAGTAAGAAATGATCAATTAGGTGCTAAAATCTAAATGTGTAAGATGCACACGAGTGTAGGACTCTCGGCTTCACCCCCTCAACCAGTGGTCGGCAAACTCATTAGTCAACAGTGCGGTTTGCCGACTGCTGCCCTAGATCACTAAGCTTCCTGCACCCTCCAGTCTGGAACATCGAGTCCCCCCCCTCACGCCTCCTTGTGGTCTCCGGGGCGGTTTCAATAATGTAAATAATCTGAGAGCAGATTGGGATCCTCCTGTGCAAGAAACAGGTGACAGCAACAGGCGCTCTGAGTAACACGGGAATGGTGCTGAGCAGCCCACGTGTCCGCGGTGCCGACAGGCACGTGCACACGTGTGTGAGGTGCACACCAGCACAGGGGACGTGCAGAGGTCCACGGACACTTCCTGTGCCGTCACGCAGTCACTTTGTTCCCGGACAGCCTTTCTGTCGGGCACAGACAGACATGCCGCGGCTGTGACTGACATGGGTGTCTCCTGCTTGGCAGGGCTGCTCTCCCAAACACGGCTAGGTGAGGTGGCCCTGGGCAGCTTTCAAACACTGAGACGACCCTGGAAAGTTTCATCTTCAACCTACGGAGGTGAGCTGTTTGGAAAGTGAATCAAGGGAGCGTGCAGAGTCCCACGAAAGGAGGCAGAGACCCCAGAAAGCCTCAGAGAGCAGAGGGCAGCAAATGCAATCCAGGAGGCAATGCCCTCCAGACACGTTTGAACATGGGCATTTTTAATGTTGTCATCATTACCTGTGTACCTTTTCCCCGAACACCCCTGTGTCTGGGACTCATGGGTGTGTGTGGGAGCTGGGGGGAGGCTGTGGCGAAGAGGGGGGAGGGTGTTGGGGATGAAGGAAGACTGAGGGTGGGCACACGCATCCCCTTGACCTGCTGGCAGCCGCTGGACCCCTGCTTTAGCTCATCCTGCTGACAATCAGTGCCTCAGGCAGTCTCAGCCCTTCCCGCCCTTTGGGAGATCCCTGCCTCCCCCAAGGTTGAGAACTGTCTGTCCCTGCTCCGAGGCAGCCATACCTGCTTGGCCAGATAGCCCTGCTTTATCACCGTGCCGCTCAGCTCCATGGTGCTCAGGTTAATGTCCTCCCGGAGACTGATCTTCTGCTTGTGGCTCTCAGCCTCGTGGGAAGAAAACAAGGATTCTGTCACGCAAAGTCCCAGTTACAGGCTGCGGGGGCTGCCAGGGGGAAAAGGAAAATCCTTCACAGAGAAACCCCTTCCACCTGGGGTGACGCTGTCCCCCAAACCAGGTGCCTCCCTCAGGACTGTGGGCCCCTTGCCCCCACGCTGAGGCCGCCCCCTTCCCTCTGCCCTGATGGCAAGAGGCGCCCTCTCCGTGGCTTACAAAGGTGTACAGGGCCGTGGAGTCGTCCAGGAACTGCTCGGCCAGGTCCCCGGAGCGAACGGCCTCGGTGCTCCGGGCGCCGACCGGCTTCAGGAAGTTCTCCTCCAGGAGCACGGAGGCCAGGGTCACGGCCTCCAGACGGTTGGCCGCAAAGTTGTTGGAGATGAGCCAGTCCACCAGGGAGGAGCCTGCGTCGGAGCAAAGGCAGCACCATCAGACCGCAGCCCACCGACCAGCCTCCATGGGTGGGGGGCCTGGCTGAGTGCTCACTGGCTCTGACCTCCTGGGCAGCCTGGGGGCTCTGCACAAGAGCAGACCAAGGGCCACCCCTGCCGCATGGAGCTGTGGCCGCTCCCACTGTGGCCGTCTCAGGCCGGCCTCACCACGGGCTGGTGGGGCACCGCTGCGTCCCAGCTCACCACGCCCCGGTTCCCACGCCCCTCCGAGAGGGACGGCTCACCAATGAAGGTCTTTTTGTAGGTGCTCCCCTGCTCCACGTTGGGGCTGGGCCGGATTCCTGTCGCGCTGTCGTGCATCTTGTCCACGATGCGACTGCACGGGAGGAAGGCCAGGTCAGGGCCCCTCGTCACAGATGTGGGAAAGGGCCTCAGGGTATTAAGCAAGTGGCAAATGGTGAGGTGCGCGCCACAAAGGAAGAGGGGGCAGAATGTGAGAGGTAGGTAGGTAGGGTTTTAGATCTTTTTTTTTTTTTTTTTTTTTTTTGTGCTCATCTAAACGTTCTAATATTTCTGTCCTGGTTCGTCATTGCTCTTGTAGTGAAACTAAAGAGCTGTGACTTCTGCTGCTTGGGGGTTAGGGGTTTCTCCTGTGAACAGGCTGTTGTTAAGTTTCCAGGATGGGATCTCCTTTCACACACCCTTACTTGACACTCTCGCCTCCACTGCCGACCTGCTTTCCTCCTGTGGTGTGGGATGCTTCCTGCCCCAGTGGAAGGTCTTTTCTCATTTGCTAACTACGTACTTGGGCTGGAAAGCCCCTGAGACGGGACCGTGTTTATCCCCTTCTGCATCTCCTGAGGACCTAGTGCTATGAACTGCGTGCAGGAGGCGCTGAAGAACTACGTCGTGAATTAATTCATTAATTAGTTAATTAATTAATGAGGAACACTACAGGGCAAGAAGGCAACTGCCTCCAGAACACATCGTTCTTGCCACCAGGGGGCGAACATGCCCATGATTGGTGAGTGGAGGTTCCTGAGCACCGGGCTGAACTGGAGGGAGGCTCTCAGATGCTGAGGTGGGAGGAAGCAGCCAAGGCCCCAAAGGGTGAGAGGAGCAGGGCCATTCCCAGGCAGAGAAAAGAGTACAAGCAGGGCAGTGGCAGCACAAGGCCCTGAAAGCACGTTGGCGGAAGCAGTCAGGCCCAATTAGCAACAGCACAGACACAGACGGCCAGGCGCAGCGGAGGCAGGGAGTGCGGACAGGAGCCGGGCACTCACTGCAGGCTGATGTGAGGGGGCAGCTTGAAGGAGTTTCTCTGTATGTGGAGCTGCTGGACCTTCCCCGGCTGCCCAGCGTGAATCGCCCCCGTGATCTCGAAGGCCCAGGCGTCCCTGTCCTCCCGAGAGCAGGCCTCCAGGAAATACTCTGTGGATGTGCGAGTCTTCAGCTTGATGAGGAGCTGCGGGAAGAGACAGCCAGCCAGCCAGGCCGGCACTCAGCCGTGAGGTACCTTCTTTATGGATCTAGCAATCTAGTAGGAACTGAGCTTCCTTGCTCCTGTTGGTCTTCCTAACACAGGTTCCATCAGTCCATTTGCTCACTCAAAGCCTTCAGTGAGTGGACTGATGAAACCCCATTCCCTCCATGTGCCCCTGGCCATTCTCCCCCTGCTCCCTCAGGAAGTGCTTTCCCTGGCCACACTGGCCACCCTCATCTCCCAGTCTTCTCCTCCCTCTCCCTGTTCTACTGAAGCCTGGACCGTCCGCCGGCCTGGAGCGTCTGCCCCTCTCCTCTTCTGGATCCGAGTCCCCGTCTCCATTCCTCCCAAAGCCACACCGGACCCTGCCGTCCCCCTTCTCTGCGGACACAGATAATGTTGGCTGATAATGTTGGAACCACCGTTTGAAACAGAACGTTTTCGATGAACCACTTGCTTGCCTACTAAGATTATTAAATGGAGAAGAAGCAATCTTACCGTTTCCTTCCTCAACTCCTCCCAGCCTCGCTAATTTCCTGGCACCCACTGGGCCTTCGATAAATGATTGAGTAGGATACTTTTTTGATGGCAGGGTGGGTGCTGCCCCTGGCTTTTGGAACATACACCCCTTGGGGATGAAAGCCATCCTATTGCTTTACTCACATTTTTTAATTTTTTTAAATATATATTTTATTGATTTTGTACAGAGAGGAAGGGAGAGAGATAGAGAGTTAGAAACATCGATGAGAGAGAGTCATCGATCAGCTGCCTCTTGCACACCCCCTACCAGGGATATGCCCACAACCAAGGCACATGCCCTTGACCGGAATCGAACCCAGGACCCTTCAGTCCCCAAGCCGACGCTCTATCCATTGAGCCAAACCGGTTTCGGCTACTCACATTTTTTTTTAATGCCGCCTAGCCTACAGGATCCCTGGGCCTTCATGGGACATACCAGTAGGTATCATTTTTTTACCCCATTTTTATAGAGGGGCTGAGGCTCAGAGAGGTTCGTTACTTGCTCAAGGCCGCATACCCGGTAGGTGGTGCAGCCAGGGTTGGAACCGGGATTTTCCATGATAGCTCAGCTCTTCCCATTACACACACACACACACCCATCACCAGAGGCCAGCGGGGGAGGAGTCCGGGGCAGGGAGGAGCTGGGAAGCCAGCATCCACTTACCGGTCGGTTTTCATACTCCAGGCAGGGGCAGGTGATGGTGCAGCCGTCCAGGAGGATCTGGCCCTTGGGAGGGGTGACCTTCCGGCCCCCCTCCAGCTTGTAGTACAGCAGCGTGTTCTGCCGGAGGACGAACCATCGCGCCTTCCAGTTGTGGACGATGTGACCCTGAGGACAGACAGCAGAGCCCTGAAGTGAGGCGCCTGGGGGGCAGCACCGTGTCCCGGAGAGGAGTCCCCCGGTGCAGGACTGACCGTCCGACAAGGGGATAGCATTCTTTTTTTTTTCTTTTTCTTTTTGCTTAGTATTTTTTTATTTTGAAATAATTTCAATTCAGAAAAAAAGATGAACTTTTTTTTTTTTTTACGGAACCATTTAAGAGTACACTTTTAACATGATGCCCCACTTCTGAATAATATTTTATTGTGTATCTCCTACAAAAAAAATAAGGATGTTTTCAACACAATCACAGTGTAACCATTCAACATCAGGAAATGGACATGAATGTGTTGTGTTTAGCTGTTCCACAAACCCAGGACAAGTCTCACCAGTTGCCCCGATAATGCCATGAATGGTCAAAGGATCCGGTTCAGAATCCTATGCTTCATTTCCATTTTCATGAAGAAAGTGTCCTTTGTCTGGATATCTTAGTCATCTCCTCTGAGTATGCAATAAAGACGCGTGGCATTGGCCTTCTCACTCCTACCTGGCCTTCTTTTCTGGATATAAACCTTGGAAGACCCTGCTAAGTATTATCAGGAGGCAGACATTGCTAACATTCAGTACTTCCTTCTAGTCTTTTTTCCTTTTAGTATTTACTTTCTAGTTGTTTTTTAAATCAGGACTATATTACATATGCTTTTATTTTCTAGTGTGGTTTTTTTTTGTTTTGTTCAGTTTTGCTGAGTATCGTCTCACACCATTCCATTTCTCTAAAATATTTTTGAAATACATTTTTATTGATTTCAGAGAGAAGGGGAAGGAGAGAGATATAGAATTATCAATGAGAGGGACACGTCCATCAGCTGTTTCCTGCACGGCCCCCTACTGGAGACTCAGGAGCCAGGAGAGGACACTCGACCAACGGAGCCGCACCAGACAGGCTACATTTTTAAATGGCCACTCGGTGGATGCATCACTTACTTGTCAATCTCCTGCATTTGTAATGGGTCATTGGTTCTTTATTTTGAAATAATTTTTGTTTTGTTTTTCACTATTATAAACAATTCTGCAATAAACATCCTTGCATATACATTTTGCTCTGCATGTCTGATTCCCCCTCCTCTTAGGATATATTCCTAGTAAGACTATTGCTAGTCAAAGGATGTGGGCAGTTTGCAAATGTGGGCTACCCGTGCTGAGGATGCCGAGTCTCACCTGCCACGCCAGGCCTAAAGGGCAGGTAGTTTGGGAGCTCTCCGAAGGACCAGAGAGTCCATGGCTAGCACAGTCCGCGAAGGCAGAGAGCCTGCTTCTAGAGCAGACCAGAGGATGGGGGGGTGTCAGCTGAGGAATCAGAACGGAATGGATTTAGAATACGCTCACGAATCTACTTTCTTGGCATGCTTTCCGGAGCAGAGCCTCATACGGGCTAGATTCTAACCAAGAGAGGCACTTCACCTGAGCCAGAGACCATTTCCCCATTCGCTGGTTTCCTCACCGAGTGCCGATTCCTTTCCGCCCTCACACCTAAGTGCTGGGACTCTGCCATGCTCAGCCTGGGCTGACAGCTATAAAAAGGTGTCACTGGCCTGCACCCCAACAGAATTTACTGTGACAACGAAACCAGACTTCTAACCGAGTTCTTCTGACCGGAGCCTTTACTCCGTCCACGTGTTCCCACGAGAGCACTCAGGGAGTCAAGTTGAACTTGACACTTTTGCTCTCTCCGCCCTGTCCTGCACTTAGAGCCCATGAGTGAAATGACGGCTAACAGCTTTCCTTGACATGTCAGACACGTTTAAAGAAACACAAAACGTTTGGCTCCGACTCCCCAGCAGGTGGGGTTCTCTGCTGCCCTGCCCCTGGCCTGCCCCGACGACCCCGCAGGTCCCTGCAGTGGTGTCAGCAGCAGATTGCTGGCACAGGGATTACAGCCGGTGCAGCGAGAGGAGAGGGCGACCTAAGTTGACGATATGGGCGGCTGATGTGAGGGAGAGAAGCGGCAAGGATGGAATCATCTTAAACGTAAAACACAGGTGTTAGGAGCTGAATTATGTGTCTCCCTGCCAAAAAGGATCATACATTGAAGCCCGAACCCCCACTATCTCAGAATGTGACTATTCAGAGATAAGAGGTGATGAGGTTAAAATACAGTCTTGGGTGGGCCCTAATCTAACCTGTTTTGGGTCCTCTGAGCAAGAGGAAATTTGGACACACAGAGAGGCAGCAGGGAGACGTGTGCCCAGAGGAAAGACCGTGTGGACACACAGCCAGAAGGTGGCCACGTGCAAGCCGAGGAGAGAGGCCTGGGAGGAAACGGATCCTGCTGACACCCTGATCGTGGACTCCAGCCTCCAGAGCTGGGAGAAAGTAAACCTCTCTTGCCCAAGCCGTCCTGTCTGTGGCATTTTGTTACAGCAGTCTGAGCAGATTAAATCACCAGGGAAAGCCCTCACCGGTTTGATTAGAGTGGATAGAGTATCCGCCTGTGGACAGCAGGGACCCGGGTTCAATTCCAGTCAAAGGCACATGCCTGGGTTGTGGGTCTGACCCCTAGTGGGAAAAGGGGATGTAGGTGGCAGCTGATCAGTGATTCTCTCTCAGCATTGAAGTTTCTTTTTTTCTTTTCTTTTCTTTTTTTCCCTCCATTTTTTTTAATTGATTATGGTATCACATAATTAGCATTGATGCTTCTCTCTCTCTCTCCAGCTCACCTTTCCTCTCTGGGGATCCTGGGCTGCGTGGTGAAGGTTGGGAGGAGCTGGCCAGGTTAGGAGGGCAGGAGGGGAGAGCAGGTTAGGAGAGCAGGAGGGGAGAGCCGCGCCCCTGGAAAACTCCTCGCAGTTCTGCAGGGTGGGGCTCGGGGGCTGTGAGGAAGGGAGGAGGGACCAGTGGGCTTCAGGTCCTGTGCTGCGGAGTTTGATCTTTACATTGCAGCCAGGGGGGGGAGTCTTTGAAGACTTCTAAGCGGAAGGACGGCAAGCCTGAGTCCTCCTGTTTAAAAGGTCTCGGAGCCACGCTGTGGCCGTGCGGGAATGAAGCGGCCACACGCAGGCAGCTCGGCCGGAGCTGCGGCAACAAACAATCCACAGGATGGGATGAGAGCTGCAGCGTCGCCGCTACAGATAAGCCTGGCAGAGCTCAGAGGGCACGAGGCCTGGTCCGAAGTCCCAGGCAAAGGAGGCCAGAGGCTGGAGCACAGTGGGATGAGCGGAACAGGGCCCTCCACCTGGACAGTTTCCCCCTTCCCCCAGCTCCTCGTCTGCAAGTGGCTGGCTGGGGCCAGAAGCCGGCTAACTCCTGAGACCCTGAAGCCTCTTCAGGGGAAGGAGGGGAGTCTGTGTGCTGGAATGTGATCCTCGGTACAGAAGTTACAGCTGGAGGGACCCTTTGAAAAAGCCCAAACTCCCGAACTGTCACGATGAGGAAACTGAGCCTCAGAAAGGTCTTGCCCAAGACCCTACAGCCTCAAAGAAGCAGATTTGCTACTTGCTAGGGGTTGAATTAGGTCCCCCCAAAAAGGTACCTCTGGAGAGGATCTCATCTGGCAATAGGGCCTTTGCAGATGTAATCAGCTTGTGATCAAGTTACATGGATCAGGGGAGCACCGTGATGCTCACATGACCGGTGTCCTCATGAAGGGGGACAGTTACGCACTGAGAGACACACATGGGGAGGAGATGGTCATGTGACGATGGAGGCAGAGACCGGGGAGATGCATCTCCAAGCCACGGGGCACCAGGGACTGCCTGCTTGGAGACCACAGAAAACACGTACACGGGTCTCTGCCCCTGGCACAGAGCTCCTGAAACCCTTGTCACTTCCCAGGTGACATCAGTGTCTTTATTCTAATGAGGCAACTCTGGGTGGGCTCCGGATGGCTCCTGGATGGGGGCTGCTTCACAGGATGAAAAGCTTGGGATTTCCAGCCTAGCACACCCGTTCTCTGGAGAAAGGGGAGGAGCTCTGATGAAATGAACGATCAATCATGCCTAGGATGTGAAGCCTCCATAAAAATCCCCACAGTGCTGGGTTCGGAGAGCTTCTGGGTGGTGAGCACGGGGAGAGTGGTGTGCTCGGAGAGGGCTTAGGATGGCACACCCCTTCCCATACACCCTGCCCTGTGTGTCTCTTCCATCTGGCGGTCTACCGTCTCCTTTAGCATATGCTTTAATAAACTGGTGGCCCTAGCCAGTTTGACTCAGTAGATAGAGCGTCGGCCTGTGGACTGAAGGGTCCCGGGTTTAATTCCGGTCAAGGGCACATGCCCAGGTTGTGGGCTCAATCCCCAGTGGAGGGGGGTGGAGCGTGCAGGAGGCAGCCAGGCGATGATTCTCTCTCATCAGTGATGTTTCTATCTCTCCCTCCCTCTCCCTGCCTCTCTGAAATCCATAAACATATATTAAAATAAATAAATAAAATAAAATAAACTGGTGAACATAAGTGTTTCTCTGAGTTCTGTGAGCCACTCTAGTAAATTAATCAAATCCAAGGAGGGGGACATTGGGACCTCCCTCCGGGCTTGTGAGTGTGGCGGAGGTGTGTGTGTGTTGAGGATGGGCAGTCTTGTGGGACTCAGCCCTTACCCTGGGGAATCTGACGCTATCTCTGTACAGACTGTGTCAGAATCGAGTTAAATTGTGGGATACCCAGTGGGGATCTCAGAGAATTGCTTGTTGGGGGAAAACATTTGGTGACCAGAAGTGTCAGCAATGGAGTGTTCTGTGCAAAAGTAAAGGAGACTCACAGGTAAAGGCCCGCATGCAAACACACACACACACACACACACACACACACACACACACAGTAAAGAACCAGGTTTCTCCCTACATCGGAAGGAAAAAAATCCGGGTGATTCCTTGACAGCCTGCAAATGCTGGAAGCAAAAGAGGCTCGGATACACTCTCCCCTCCTATCTTCATGGGGAAAACCCTTGATTTCAGGCCTCTGGCCCCCAGAACTCCTTCCAGACTGTTCTCTGCTACGTACATTTCCCCTTACTTATTGTACCTTTAGCATGTTCACTCTTCAAGTTATAATATTAAGAACATTTTAAACATCATTGACTAAATCATGTGTCTATTTGGGGGGATACATAGGTCGTTTCCAGCTTTCCACTACCTACCAACCCTTGGTTCATAGACCTTTTATGGTGTTTCCTTGGGATAGAGCCCCACTAACGGCATTTCTGGGCGGAAGCACGTTCACCTTGCCGTTTTCTCCAAAGGAACGAAGGGGGCGGCAATGTTTGAAGTGCTCCCGCCTCTTCTGAAAGGGAAAGCGGTCCTGCCCACGCTGATCCTGGCCTCCTCCCCTCCCCCGCCCCTCCTTTAGAGCCGGGCCGGCGAGCAGCCTGCGCTCTGCCTGAGTTCCACTTCTTGTCTGGGCAGAATTAGGAGCCAAACCCTTCATGCCCCTGCCTGCCCCTGCTTCACCCTCCGCGCGATGACTGCTCTGTGCTCTGGGCTTCCGGCCCTGCCCACCTCTGCACGGCAAACCCCCCTGAAGCTGGAGTGAGCTCTATGCGTTTCAGCCAAGCCCCTAGCGTGTGCTTCTGGGGTCAGACCCGTGGAATGTCCTCACCTCTCTGCACCCTGGACTCTGAGGGAACTCACATCCTCCCCTCCTGTCCCCTGATTCTCTGCCTGGCTGCAGGTGGGGAATCAGGTAAGCTAGTCTCTGAGAATTTGGGAGTATAGTGGGGGAGGAGACCCACAAGGGGTGTTCTGAGGGAGTCTGGCCTCCTCAGACTCCCTCCCAGGGCCCAGCTCCCCAACCATCAGGGATGCCCAGCAAAAACCCCTGCCCAGCTCCACACACTTCCCTCCAACTTCAGAAGCTGCAGGAGTGGAGGCCACGGAGGTTCCCTCAGCGTCGTCTCGCTGAGGTGCCTCTGCCTCCACGAGCCGTAAGGGACCAGCCTACGGTGTTAGCCACAGTGGCATGAGGCAGGAGTGGAATTTTGTACCTGCTTTACGCCGTCTGACCCTTGATCTGGCATCAGCACTCCTCGGCTGACAGTTTTGAGCAAACAACACACCCTCCCTCCTCTATCAAACAAGGTGTAACACGACGGGGCTGCCTTACCCGCGGGCCTGACGGCGGCTGGAGATGCCAGGGCCCATCTGGCCACCGGAGGGGGCCATGGAAAGGAGACACAGCCATCTCACTCTGCCAGCCCCTCCCTGAGCAGTCAACCCAGCAGGAGGCCTGGAGGGCTCGCCCCCAGGTGTGAGGTCTGCCACCACGGTAGCAGAGACGCTGAGCACGAACAGCCATGCTAGAAGCACTTCATCCTTTCCCGCCTCGATCCTGGGTGCAGTTTTTGTCCGGACTCCTGCCTGCTGTGGGCCAGGCCACGTGGGCCCACGGGGAAGCGCTGGGGATGGAGGGGCCAGTCCTATCTGTGGTCAGCCCTGGGGTTCTGAGAGGAGGATTTTGCCTTTCTAACCCTCTGCCTCCTCGTCTGTGATAGAGTGATAAGAATGCCTACCCTGCAGTGGGCAGGACGAGGCCTGGAGTAGACCTGGGTGGGTTTGATCCTGCTCCATCGCTCACCAGCACCCAGATCCTGAGCCAGTTACCCTGCCTCTGTGCGTCTAGTTCTCCCCTTGGAGAAGGGGGTCATGTGGTACCACCCGTGGGCTGCTGGGAGGATTGAAGGAGACAGTATCGTCCTCCTCCATCCCCCCCTACACACACACACACACACGCACACACACAGTGCACACGCGCACACACACACAGTGCATGCACACACACAGTGCACACACACACAGTGCATGCACACACACAGTGCACACACACACAGTGCACACGCGCGCACACACAGTGCACACACACACAGTGCACACACACACAGTGCACACACACACACAGTGCACGCTTAAGAAGCACAGGCACAGGCTTCCTCCTGCCCCCCGTTACGGTGAAGCGCATGGGCGGGAACTGCATATGGACGGGCACTGTGAACGACAGGCACGTCTGCGTTGGTTTAATCCAGTGTTTCCCAAACTTCTCTCAGGATGAGAATCACCCGGTGGAGTTGCTAAACTACAGATTCCTGAATCCCAAAACTAAGAAGTGCTAAACTAGAATTTTTGGGAACATATATATGTTTAGCACTTCTTCTTTGGGATTCAGGAATCTGTAGTTTAACAGCCCCACCGGGTGGGTGATTCTCATCAGGAGAGAAGTTTGGGAAACACTGGTTTAATCCGTCGTCCTTAAACGCTAACTACTCTAAAGCGGCTGTAATTAAGGTGGCCACTTGGGTAGCCTCCACCCGCCCCGCATCCACCCGCCTCCGGCCCGGCCCGGCCCGCGCCCCGGCCCCCATCCTGCAGGAGCCGCCGCCGGCTCTGCCCGCGGAGCCCGGCGCCCGGTCCTCCCGGAGCCGGGCCGGGCCGCCGCTCAGGTGCGCGGTGCCCGCCCCGGCCGCCCCGGGCAAAGTCCGGGGCCGGCGCTCACCCTCTTGACGAGGAAGCCCTCCTTGAGCACGCCGCCGTCCTCCGGGTCGCCGCCGGCGAGCGCCCCCGGGGCGCCGTCCCCGCGCCGCATGCCGCTCCGCGCTCCTCGGGCCCCGCGCAGGGAGGGCGCGCCGCCGCCCGGTGCCGCCCTCCTGGCCCGCCGCCAGGCCCGGCGCCCGGTCGGAAGTCAGACCTGGTTGGGATCCCAGACGTGGGCTCCCCCAGCCCCCCGGGGCCCAGGTTGGTCCTGAAGGGACAGAGCCTCGCGCCTGAGCCACCCCCTGGAGAGCCTTCCCGCCGCGGCTCCCTCCGCCGGGCAGGGCGCCCCGTCCCGGTGCCCCAGGGCGCTCCGTGCCTCCGACTCTCTCTGCCCGTCTTCCTCCTCCCCCCGCCTGCACCAGGTGCCCGCCTGGCACTTAGTGTGCTGCCCTTGGGTAATAGCAGCGACGGAATTAAATGGAACTGAACAGATTCCAAGGAGTTTGAACAGAGATTCCCAGCCTTTTTCATCTCATGGCACATGTAAGCGAATTACTAAAACTTGGCGGCATACCAAAAAATACAATTTTTGCCCATCTACCAAAAAAGTAGGCATAATTTTGATTGATTTGCAAATAATAAAAATAATAATAATGATTACCTACCTACCCTATTTGCTCCAAAGTGACTTTTTAAAAAACCAGGGGCCCATAAGAGTATATAAGGGTTTCTGGCACCAAGAATTAACCAATCAGATGCAGCCTTATTATGTGGCATAACCAATAAGAGGCATTCTATTGTATGACCTACATGCTAGCTAGTATTTATGGTCCAAGACAGGGCGTTCACACTCCACAGCTATTGTGTTGGCCGTTGTCACTTTTTTATTTGACAATCTAAGGGGAAAGGGCTCAGTGCCCCTGACTAAACAGTTTTTTGCGTGTTTTAAAAATTCTCACTTGGCTGAAAATCACTGATCTAGAGTCATCCCTGGGTTCAATTGAAATGGAGGTGTGAGAGTGGATGGGGAGGCACCAGGCTAGGAACTTACCCTGGCTTCTGGCGGGGGCAGAGAAAAGTTCCCGTTAGCAAGGTCACGGGCTTACAGAAGCAGGCACTGTCCGAGGAGGGGGGGGGGGGTCTGCCCCCCAAATACTTCCCTCCCCAAAGGGCTAGAGCTGAAGATTTTTTAAAAATATATATATTTTATTGATTTTTTTACAGAGAGAGTCAGGAACATCCATGAGAGAGAAACATTGATCAGCTGCCTCCTGCACACCCCCCACTGGGGATGTGCTCACAACCAAGGTACATGCCCTTGAATGGAATCAAACCCGGGACCCTTCAGTCTGCAGGCAGATGCTCTATCCACTGAGCCAAACCAGTTTTGGCTAGAGCTGAGTTTTAATCCTTGTGCAAAATATAAGGGCTTGCCAAGGAACTCCGCACTCTAAATAAATGACATTTTAATGCAAAAAACTTTCAAATGAAAATTAATGCAAAAATTCAGGTTGAAGAAAATACCAAAAAAAAATTTAAAAAATATATTTTATTGATTTCTTACAGAGAGGAAGGGAGAGGGACAGAGAGCCAGAAACATTGATGAGAGAGAAACACCGACCAACTGCCTCCTGCACACCCCCCACTGGGGATCCATCGGTAACTAAGGCACATGCCCCTGACCGGAATCGAACCCGGGACCCCTCAGTCTGCAGGCCTACGCTCCATCCACTGAGCCAAACCGGTTTTGGCAGAAAATACCAAATTTTTAAATGAAGATTGCATCCGTAGCAGAACACATGGGAGCCCGAAACAAAAGGAAACCTCAGTAACACCGATTCTGTCTGGCAATCCTCAGGACATAGCCGTTGCGTTCATTCTGCTCGCAGCACGCTCGCTGAGCACACCGTTAGGATGGCTCACCAGGACGGGAAAGGCCCCACATGCCTGAAAGGGAAGAGAAGGCTCTAGATTGGGAAACGGTGCCTCAAGCTGTGGAAAACCAGCCGTGCCAGTCAAAACCAGCCTGGCGCTCACACCTAAACCACGTGAGATGCGCAAGGGGGCGGGAGGGGGCGGGTGGCGGTGGCGCACGTCAGCCTTTTGCACAGACTGACTTCAGGTCTCCCCGCCAGTCCCAGAGCGCTGGTCTTCCGCCGGGTTTTCAGTGCGCAGACTGGCTCAGCGCCTTCTAAAGCCAGGCCGGAGGTGGGTGCTACCCTGTTTCCCCGAAAATAAGACAGCGTCTTATATTACTTTTTGCTCCCAAAGTTGCGCTAGGTCTTATTTTCAGGGGATGTCTTATCTTTCCATGCGCTAGGTCTTATTTTCGGAGGATGTCTTATTTTCGGGGAAACACGGTAGGTTTTATTTAATGCACAGCAACCCACAGGGTCAGTTTATTATCCCATTCTCTCCAGCCAAGGAAACTGAAACCTGAAGCAGTTAAAGAACTTGCCCAAGGTCACCGATGCTGACGCCGGGGCAGTGTGAATGCACCTGCTCCTCCGTTCCTGAGCAGGGAAGAGGAAGAAAGATGATGCTGAGCTCTGAGACATGGTGGGCTGAGAATCTGGAGGGGGAAATTCGTATCTCCTTTGGCTCTACCTCAGCTGTTAATCTCCTTCTTCCTCCCAGATGCCAGAGGAGAGGCAGTTGGCATACAGGTTGTTTTAGTCTCACCCAAACGCTGCCTTCTGAGGCTTAGCAGGGGTGGCATTGTCTTTGGCAAGAGGAGTTCCTGAATGAGTTCACAGGAAGACTGGTTCTCCCTCCAGACAGTGCCCCTTAGGATGGAGCTAGGCCTCGGATACTTAGAACCTGCTTTCCATCCTGGGACAGCCCCTGTCCAGCCCACCCTACGTCTGACTCACTGAACCAGGGCATGAGTCACCGCCCCCTCCCCTGGCTGTGGTGGCTGAGCCATCAGCCCACCAGGGAACCACACTGACATAAGCCCGACTCAACCACAGGGAAGAAGATGGAGACAGAGGAAGCAGACAGCAAGTTATGAGCAGCTGACTCAGGGAAGGGAGCGGGGAAGAAAGCTCAGACCCAGGAGCTGGTCTCCTCTCCTCTGCCTCTCAGGGTCAGACACTGGTGTGGAAGGGACCCTGACTCTGTCACAGGGGCCAGGGAATGTCACACCGTTTGAAAATGACTGACCTAGCCCTAACCGGTTTGGCTCAGTGGATAGAGCGTTGGCCTGAGGACTGAAAGGTCCCAGGTTCAATTCCGGTCAAGGGCAGGAACCTTGGTTGTGGGCACATCCCCAGTAGGAGGTGTGTAAGAGGCAGCTGATGGATGTTTCTCTCTCATCGATGTTTCTAACTCTCTATCCCTCTATTCCTCTCTGTAAAAAAAAAAAAATCAATAAAATATACTTTAAAAATAATTGCTGACCTACACAGAAGGAATTTTTACCTGCACATATATTTTATTACATTTTATTTCTAAAGTTTGATCCCTGCCTTTTTCATTTATAACAGCGAATAGGCACCTTATCAAAACATTAAGAACAACTCAAAAATATAACTTTAATGGCTGCATAATATTTCATCATGCCAGTATCATAATGTCTTGAATCATTTCCATTCAGGATGAATTTCCTGTCTCACTGTGTAAATGTTGCTGTGATAAACATCTCTGTGCATAAACATTTTGCCACGTCTTTGTTTCATATAAATATGTGGAGCATACTTTCATGTTAAAGGGCATACATTTTTAAATTTCTCGATACGTATCTCCAAACTGCTTCCTAGAAATGTACCACATGACGCCCTCGCCAGTGGGGGTGAGAAGACCAGCGCGAAGTGCAGTATTTCCAGAAACGTTTGCTGACTTTATCAGCATCAACAGAGACCATCCAGCTCCACGGGCTCTGTGTAATCCCGTCAGGTGGGCCCCTGGGGACTCCCAGGAGTCAGCCAGCTGGCGGAGGTCCCCCTGGGAGAGACACAGAACTGACAACCTGCTGGGGAGGAGCGGGGTATTCCGTTCAATGACGCAGGCCTCCGTCATGCACTGGAGAGTCCTGGCTGACTCCCTTGGCTTCCCCACCAGCACCATCAGCCCTGCTGGCCCCCTGGAGCCCAGCCCTGTGGAGAGATGGCCCCTGGCAGGAGGGGTGGAGCAGGATGCATAGCATGACTCAGCTGTGCAAGCAGGCAGAGCTGGGCCTGTTTAATGTAGATAAGGGCCCTCCCTCCTCATTTCCCTCCCCTTCTTCCCTCCATTCCCTAAATGTTACCCCTGGAGGGCAGGCTTTCTTTTGGGTGAAAAATAAGGGGCATAACCTTGGCCTGAGGATGCCCGAGGAGCCCCAGCAGGAGGTGGTGGCCAGGGTGCCAGGTGCCAGCCATAGGATCACATGGGTCACAGCCGCTCTCCGGCCTCCGAGGCTCCCCCTTGGCTGATCATCAGACTCACCTGCAGGGCTTGTACCAGCCCCACCCAGGCCGCTGCTCACAGCGAGGCAGGCGGTGTCCTGTACAGAGAGCACGTGGCAGCCCACGCTCCACAGTCCACAGCATGCACCCCCGTCCCAATCCTACCCTCCCCACCCAGGGCTGCGTTCCCCAAAAGGAAGAAAGCTTGTTCTTTTTTCTTTCTTTCTTTCTTTTTTTTTAATATAATTTATTGATTTCAGAAAGGAAGGGAGAGGGAGAGATAGAAACATCAGTGAAGAGAGAATCATTGATTGGCTGCCTCCTTCAAGTCCCCTACTGGGGATCTAGCCCGCAACCCGGGCATGTGCCCTTGGACTGGAATCGAACCCAGGACCTTCAAGTTCACAGACTGATGCTCTATCCCCTGAGCCAAACAGGCTAGGGCGGCAATCTTTTTCTTTACCTAAAGTCTCTGTCTACTTGCCAAGCCACATCCCAGCGGGGCTGCACCTTTTTCTGTCTCCTACAAAAGTAGCAGGGACCACATCCATCCCCGGGAGAGTCTGTGTCATGGGCCGGGGAGTCCCTGGCTTAGAAATCTCGCCAGGTGAGAAAAGAAAGAAAAGACTCTAGGGTTGAGTTGGCTCTGGGAACCCCAGCCCTGGAAAATCCCCGAGTGTCTCAGCCCAACAACAGGGCGTCCGCTGCAAATCAGCCCCCTTGC